ATGAACGAGAGAGCGTGTCTGCCTTCAACTTCCACAGCTTCTATCAGTGGGACAGTTTAAAGCATACACTTCATATTTTGAGACCTAACAATGTGCAGTACGCAAACAAACTTTGAACTGATAAAATGGTATTGGTCACTATTGTGTAAGATAATTTAAACGAATGAAAAAGTTAGTTGGAAAAACAAGGAATTGATCAGCTACTAACCATTTATAATTATTGATCATCGATGTTGAAATCTCGACCCATCTCCATGAAAACAAGAAAATATTCAAACCTCCAGTAGCTAATAATCATGCACTAAACTGCAGAAGGTGCAGATTTGAGAGTCGCACTTGACTGGACATAATCAGTTATTGCCTGTCCAATCTCACTCATCCACCATAATGATCATATGAAGATCTTGTCATGACTGTATGTCTTGAAGGTTTATGTAATGTAGATATAATCAGCGTGACCAATCACTCAAGATTATATGTCATTCTGTGTTGATATGTCAGTTCTTTTATTTCTTTGTTTCCGTACATGATACACAGCGCCTGAGAGTGTCCGATTTTACTCCTGGACTCGTGCTTTTCCAGTAGGACTCTCTCAAATTTTGAGAATCCGCTGTATCTCTGTATAAATGGACTCATCAACTTTTAGAAATGGTGCTGGGTGAATTGGGGAAAAATAGTTTGATTAGGGACAATTGCTTGAATTACGAAAAATTTGTTTGAAGTAGGTAAAGTTAAGAAAATATTTGGGAATGCCATCCATATAAGGGGTTAGTTTAGTACAATAGTCCTCTGGTTACTTTACATAAGGGTAATATTGACAGATTCTTGTTGTTCATACTGCCTACCAGAGTTGAACAGCAAACATTGAAATTTAAGTTAATTGATAAAATTTCACTACTGATTTGAATACTGAAAGTTCATTAGTTGTGACTCCCTTTAATTTCATTACTTCAAGGTGTTCTTGCAACATGCAGTTCTGAAAAAAGGCCTATCTTTGTCAATTATACTAGAGCAAAATTCGGGTAGGTCGGCCAGGAAGTCTTTTTTGTTTACAGCATTTGCTAAGGGTATTTAATGAAGGAATATTGATTTCAATGCAGTGCTTAAGCTTCACCTCCTCCAAAACTGTCAAAGAAAACTATAATGTTTAACAATCTTGGCTCCCACAGGTAACTCCGACTAACTTTTCAAACTCATCGTTCTAGGTTTCCTCTTCCCAAATACCAGGACTTTACAGACTTAGCTTGGTTAAGGGGTTATTAACTTTGTTGAGCATTTGAGTTAAATATAATGAAAATGAAATGAGCAGTGATCTGTTCTCATGAAGGAGAAGGTCCACACTACTACAACAAAGTAAAATGATGAGATATTACTTATATGAAGTATTGCTTGGGAGCCTCAACAGAACCTGTTTGATTTGGAGTACATGTCTGATTAAAGTTATTTATTTGTGCAATAGGACCATAAGAAGAAAATTCTGTTTTTGGTCTGCATGGTACAATAAAAAGTTGTAGACTATAAATTGCTTAATCATCAATTATGAAAGATGTGATCTGTTGGATCACTATTAAACATTAAACAGGATTAGTTTGGTAATTCTGTATTACTCACAATTACCTTCATCTTGTAATCAAGAGTCAGTATGATATACAATTATTGACATGTTTTCAAGTGAAAACAAGAATTTTGTTAACCTGAAAAAGTGATATTTCTGCAGGTTGGACTATGCTTGCATTCACCTCTAAACTGGTCAATATGTGTTTAATTATATAGTAACTGTTTGTGCTTTAGGTGTTCATACAGGATTCTCCTGTGAGTTAACCTACCTGTTTGGGACTGTTGTAGCTGCAGATTCTGCCTGTTTCAGTGAAACATCACAATATATGTAGACTTATTAGAGGTGTTTCAACCAATCATTGGGCAAGGAGAATGACAGATAACTAATGTGGGATAGTCAACACCTGAACAGGGAACTAATGTGAGAGAGTCAACAGGGAACTAATGTGGGAGAGTCAACAGGGAACTAATGTGAGAGAGTCAACAGGGAACTAATGTGGGAGAGTCAACAGGGAACTAATGTGAGAGTCAACAGGGAACTAATGTGGGAGAGTCAACAGGGAACTAATGTGGGATAGTCAACAGGGAACTAATGTGGGAAAATCAAGAGGGAACTAATGTGGGAGAGTCAAGAGGGAACTAATGTGGGAGAGTTAACAGGGAACTTATATGGGAGAATCAAGAGGGAACTAATGTGGGAGAATCAACAGGGAACTAATGTAGGAGAGTCAACAGGGAACTAATGTGGGAGAGTCAAGAGGGAACTAATGTGGGAGAATCAAGAGGGAACTAATGTGGGAGAGTTAACAGGGAACTTATATGGGAGAATCAACAGGGAACTAATGTGGGAGAATCAACAGGGAACTAATGTAGGAGAGTCAACAGGGAACTAATGTGGGAGAGTCAAGAGGGAACTAATGTGGGAGAATCAAGAGGGAACTAATGTAGGAGAGTCAACAGGGAACTAATGTGGGAGAGTCAAGAGGGAACTAATGTGGGAGAATCAAGAGGGAACTAATGTGGGAGAATCAAGAGGGAACTAATGTGGGAGAGTCAAGAGTGAACTAATGTGGGAGAGTTAACAGGGAACTTATATGGGAGAGTCAACAGGGAACTAATGTGGGAGAATCAAGAGGGAACTAATGTGGGAGAGTCAACAGGGAACTAATGTGGGAAAGTCAACAGCTGACCAAGGAACTAATGTAGGAAAGTCAACAGCTGAACAGGGAACTAATGTGGGAGTCAACAGGGAACTAATGTGGGACAGTCAACAGCTGAACAGGGAACTAATGTAGGACAGTCAACAGGGAACTAATGTGGGACAGTCAACAGCTGAACAGGGAACTAATGTGGGACAGTCAACAGCTGAACAGGGAGCTAATGTGGGACAGTCAACAGCTGAACAGGGAACTAATGTGGGAAAGTCAACAGTTGAACAGGGAACTAATGTAGGATAGTCATAGGGGCCAGATTTGGGGAAATTCAGACGGAGCTAATTTGGGAGAGTCAGCAAAGAACTAATGTTGGAAAGTCAGTTGATTTGGTAAAGACAACGGGGAACTATTTTCTTGAAATGTCAAAGCAACTTTTTCTGATGAACAACAAGGCCTTCAATCATGATATAATAGTAAAGTTCCTAAGAGGAATGTCACTAATAATGTATTTTTGAAAACTATTGAATATAATGGGAGCGATACAGACCCAATGGGCCACTTTTTACTTGTTTACATATTTTGGATGACTAGCTATAGGCTGTCAATAGAACCATTTATGACTTTTTGAGGCCATCACTGGTACTGTAGGTTGTAATACATACACAACACTATACAGATGTAATGATTTGTTTGTCTCAATGCAAGCTTCAAACCTAATAACAAAAACACTGTAGTAATTATATTATTTTCATTTAGACAAGTATTGACAAGTGGTTCTGAAGTGATTGTGTGTTGTTGTATATGATCGGTTCTGTATTGTAAATTATTCTGTACATTTTGAATAAAGGAAGGTAAATTATCGTTTTTAAAATCCCACTACAGTGTTATAGCTAGAGTCAGGCAAACGTCACAGAATGTTTTATTTATGTGTTCTCTATTGTACATCTGTCTGTCTGTCCATCCATCCAACCATCCATTTTTGGTATATTAACTAAATGTTACATGTAGTTATGCCATATTTAGTTTCCTTCTGCTGATATTTCTGCCTCTGCCATGTCTACTTGTCTGTCTTTCAACCTCTGTCTGCTGTCTGTCTGACATGTTCATGTCATATGACTGAAAGGGCCATTTGTAAACTTCTTACAAATACTGCTCCTCCTGAATGCCTGAGTGAATTTCAACAAAAATTGGACTAAAACATGTTTAGGACTGGGCAATTAATTCCTCAACTCGCTAAGTTGACTTGAACCTGTGGGACTAAGACAATGCCGGGGGTATTTACATATATGTAGCTAAAATGTTGCTTTTATACCTTACTTTTTCTTAATGCCTCTGCAGGTTTTAACCAAACATGGTCTGATATGTCATTAAGGGTAGACAATCATTTCTAAAATGCAAAATGTTGATATAACCCCATGGGGAATTTGCCTAAAATTTTGCATGAAGATATTACTCTTCCCAAATTTATATCTGAGTAAGTTTAAATCAAATTCAGTCTAAATCATCACTGGAGAGAGCAATCATTTTTTTAATTCAGAAAGTTTATAGACTTTAGGGGGCTGGATGGTGGGACCCCAAATCAGGTATTAATAGCTGAAATTTTGTTTTCAAATGCTGGTATTCTTAAATGTTGAAAGAGAATCAAAAAATGATTGATTTGGTTGTCAAGTGACCATCTAGGCCAATGGGCCTCTTGTTAAATGTATATGTTATAACTATTAAGAGTAGTCTCCAGTCAACAGTGGTGTAAGGATGCTTATCGGTGTTTAACTGTCCAGCAGTCTGTCTTAGCTGTCTGTCTAGCTGTCTGTCTAGCTGTCTGTCTAGCTGTCTGTCTTGCTGTCTGTCTAGCTGTCTGTCTACCTGTCTGTCTACCTGTCTGTCTAACTGTTTGTCTACCTGTCAGTCTAGCTGTCTGTCTACCTGCCTGTCCATTAGTCTGTCTAGCTGCCTGTCCAGCTCTCCTCCTTTGGCCACACTGCTTTTTTTTGGCCAAACTCTACCAGCTGGTTAGTTATGTGAGAATATGGGGGAGGAGGTGTTGGTTGAGGCCAAACTCTGCTGACTGATTAGTAATATGAGAATGGAGAAATATGTTTTAGACAATTACAAAACATTAGTGTAAGTTGGTTATGTATATCTTAGATGTATAGTTGATTTATTTGACAAAAACCTTTTAAATCTTAGAAACAAATGTTTACAGAAACTATATGATAAAACCATGTATAGGTTTTAAGGATCAAGATAACAGTGTTATTATATGCGTGTGTTTTAACTCCTGTGCTTTACCTGTATTAATCCTTTTAACCCTTTGTGTGGAGTTTTGTTGGTAGAGTGCATTTTTCCGCAAATACAGATAAAGTAATTTTGGTAATCGAGCCACCGCTCGTTGGTTCTGGTTGGGTGGGTTGTGTGTTCCTTCACTCCCTAACTGGAAACCTATGGTATGCAGGGTGAATTAGCTGAAAGATAAATGAGGTAAGGATATCAATCACATGGAAGTGGACATGTTTAAAATCTAATAGGTACTTGTCAACTGGTTTCACCCTCCGGGGCACCATCAGGACAAAAATTTCTATTTAAACTGCCCTAAGGTGCATTAAATGCGGCTGCCTATCTGCTAAAAATTGTATATTGTATCTGTTATGGTGACGTTATACAATTTCAAGCTCGTTAACTCTAACAATATCCATATTAGAGGTTACTAGCTCACTACGTTATCAGTTTATATGCATCCTAATGTTACTACATGTGAATATTTTATAATTTTAGTTATATGCAGAAGCTTAACAACATTGTGACATACTGATACTATGGTGTATTGTAGTGGTACAATTATCATACATGAGTGATTTATATGTATGCAGACTGCAGTCAATCTTCTCACAATAAAGCATTTTATGATGCATTTAAACTTTTCGTATTTTCATTACCTTGGGTAAAGATATTTATTCCTTTTGTGGTTCCACGTGATAAACTTTATATGTTAACTGTAAAATTTATAATTAAATACAAATTAAATGTCATCTTACTCTAACATGAAAAGAGTAAAGAATATAAATAATATTGATGGTCAAGGATGGCTGCACATCCTGTAAACATATTGATGGTCAAGGATGGCTGCACATCCTGTAAACATATTGATGGTCAAGGATGGCTGCACATCCTGTAAACATATTGATGGTCAAGGATGGCTGCACATCCTGTAAACATATTGATGGTCAAGGATGGCTGCACATCCTGTAAACATATTGATGGTCAAGGATGGCTGCACATCCTGTAAACATATTGATGGTCAAGGATGGCTGCACATCCTGTAAACATATTGATGGTCAAGGATGGCTGCACATCCTGTAAACATATTGATGGTCAAGGATGGCTGCACATCCTGTAAACATATTGATGGTCAAGGATGGCTGCACATCCTGTAAACATATTGATGGTCAAGGATGGCTGCACATCCTGTAAACATAATTGATGGTCAAGGATGGCTGCACATCCTGTAAACATATTGATGGTCAAGGATGGCTGCACATCCTGTAAACATATTGATGGTCAAGGATGGCTGCACATCCTGTAAACATATTGATGGTCAAGGATGGCTGCACATTCTTTAAACATATTGATGGTCAAGGATGGCTGCACATTCTTTAAACATATTGATGGTCAAGGATGGCTGCACATCCTGTAAACATATTGATGGTCAAGGATGGCTGCACTTTCTTTAAACATATTGATGGTCAAGGATGGCTGCCAGAAAATGTCCTGGTTATAATATTTATCCTTGTATCGGGTTATACTGCTGTTATTGGGAAACTTTTCAAGTTTTCTGATTGAGCACAGACTATATAGTGTAATCACTATACGAGTGTGTTCACATGGATAATATACCTGAATTTCAACCATCATGTGGCAGTGTTTCAATCCTTGATTAGGTGTTGTCAATCATTGGTAACAAATTAATGGTCAAAGGTCACACTTGATTACTCAACAGATATTATAGCACTGCCACGGTAATATTGTAATAATTCTACAACTTGTCTGTACATCAGACTCATTTCAAAAGAGTCATTAAAACGTCAAAATAATTTAAGACTACAGAGTGTTAGTTTATCATTATTTGAATAAAGTGATGACATTACACAAGTTATTTAAACATGGGACATGAGACTGCTTACATTTGGCATTCATATTGCACATGAAAAGCTATTTTAAGCTGTTCAATGCTTATATTTTGCTGTTTTGTCTTGTTATAAGGAGAGGAAACTTCAATAGCTGCCTTTTGAGTCGGATCCAAAACCAACATTTAAAAAAAAATTTAATCACTCCAGTTGCATGACTCGTGATTTTGTTAGCTGTAGGAATTTTGGGTCTGAACAAGTGATAGTTTGCAGCAGAGAATTTCAAGTAGCAATGCAATATTTTACCATAATAAATGCTTTGACAATGGAAATAACAGATATCATCAAATATCAGAAGTAAATTTCTTTTATTTCAAACCCCCTGAATATTTCCAGTTTGAATAAAAGTTTGATTAGTAGGGTAGTGTTTTCATGTTGTCTCACCTTTGTTTAGATCTTTGGGTAGTGTTATTGGGTAGTCTCACCTTTGTTTAGATCTTTGGGTAATGTTATTGTGTTGTCTCACCTTTGTTTAGATCTTTGGGTAGTGTTATTGGGTAGTCTCACCTTTGTTTAGATCTTTGGGTAGTGTTATTGTGTTGTCTCACCTTTGTTTAGATCTTTGGGTAGTGTTATTGGGTAGTCTCACCTTTGTTTAGATCTTTGGATGGTGTTATCATGTTGTCTCACCTTTATTTAGACCTTTGGGTAGTGTTATCGGGTAGTCTCACCTTTATTTAGACCTTTGGGTAGTGTTATCGGGTAGTCTCACCTTTGTTTAGATCTTTGGTAGTGTTATCGGGTAGTCTCACCTTTGTTTAGATCTTTGGGTAATGTTATTGGGTAGTCTCACCTTTGTTTAGATCTTTGGTAGTGTTATCGTGTTGTCTCACCTTTGTTTAGATCTTTGGGTAATGTTATTGGGTAGTCTCACCTTTGTTTAGATCTTTGGGTAATGTTATTGGGTAGTCTCACCTTTGTTTAGAATTTTGGGTAATGTTATTGTGTTGTCTCACCTTTGTTTAGATCTTTGGGTAGTGTTATTGGGTAGTCTCACCTTTATTTAGATCTTTGGGTAGTGTTATCGGGTAGTCTCACCTTTGTTTAGATCTTTGGGTAATGTTATTGGGTAGTCTCACCTTTGTTTAGATCTTTGGGTAGTGTTATCAGGTAGTCTCACCTTTGTTTAGATCTTTGGGTAATGTTATTGGGTAGTCTCACCTTTGTTTAGATCTTTGGGTAATGTTATTGGGTAGTCTCACCTTTGTTTAGAATTTTGGGTAATGTTATTGTGTTGTCTCACCTTTGTTTAGATCTTTGGGTAGTGTTATTGGGTAGTCTCACCTTTGTTTAGTTATTGTGTTGTCTCACCTTTGTTTAGATCTTTGGGTAGTGTTATTGGGTAGTCTCACCTTTGTTTAGATCTTTGGGTAATGTTATTGTGTTGTCTCACCTTTGTTTAGATCTTTGGGTAGTGTTATTGTGTTGTCTCACCTTTGTTTAGATCTTTGGGTAGTGTTATTGTGTTGTCTCACCTTTGTTTAGATCTTTGGGTAGTGTTATTGGGTAGTCTCACCTTTGTTTAGATCTTTGGGTAGTGTTATTGGGTAGTCTCACCTTTGTTTAGATCTTTGGGTAGTGTTATTGGGTAGTCTCACCTTTGTTTAGATCTTTGGGTAGTGTTATTGTGTTGTCTCACCTTTGTTTTGATCTTTGGGTAATGTTTTTGTGTTGTCTCACCTTTGTTTAGATCTTTGGGTAATGTTATTGTGTTGTCTCACCTTTGTTTAGATCTTTGGTAGTGTTATCGTGTTGTCTCACCTTTGTTTAGATCTTTGGTAGTGTTATCGTGTTGTCTCACCTTTGTTTAGATCTTTGGTAGTGTTAGTGTCTCACCTTTGTTTAGATCTTTGGTAGTGTGGGTGTCTCACCTTTGTTTAGATCTTTGGTAGTGTTATTGGGTAGTCTCACCTTTGTTTAGATCTTTGGGTAATGTTATTGTGTTGTCTCACCTTTGTTTAGATCTTTGGTAGTGTTATCGTGTTGTCTCACCTTTGTTTAGATCTTTGGTAGTGTTATCGTGTTGTCTCACCTTTGTTTAGATCTTTGGTAGTGTTATCGTGTTGTCTCACCTTTGTTTAGATCTTTGGTAGTGTTATTGGGTAGTCTCACCTTTGTTTAGATCTTTGGGTAATGTTATTGTGTTGTCTCACCTTTATTTAGATCTTTGGGTAGTGTTATTGGGTAGTCTCACCTTTGTTTAGATCTTTGGTAGTGTTATCGTGTTGTCTCACCTTTGTTTAGATCTTTGGTAGTGTTATCGTGTTGTCTCACCTTTGTTTAGATCTTTGGTAGTGTTATCGTGTTGTCTCACCTTTGTTTAGATCTTTGGTAGTGTTATCGTGTTGTCTCACCTTTGTTTAGATCTTTGGTAGTGTTATTGGGTAGTCTCACCTTTGTTTAGATCTTTGGGTAATGTTATTGTGTTGTCTCACCTTTATTTAGATCTTTGGTAGTGTTATCGGGTAGTCTCACCTTTGTTTAGATCTTTGGGTAGTGTTATTGGGTAGTCTCACCTTTGTTTAGATCTTTAGGTAGTGTTATTGTGTTGTCTCACCTTTGTTTAGATCTTTGGGTAGTGTTATCAGGTAGTCTCACCTTTGTTTAGATCTTTGGGTAGTGTTATCAGGTAGTCTCACCTTTGTTTAGATCTTTGGGTAGTGTTATTGGGTAGTCTCACCTTTGTTTAGATCTTTGGTAGTGTTATCGTGTTGTCTCACCTTTGTTTAGATCTTTGGTAGTGTTATCGTGTTGTCTCACCTTTGTTTAGATATTTGGGTAATGTTATTGTGTTGTCTCACCTTTATTTAGATCTTTGGGTAGTGTTATTGGGTAGTCTCACCTTTGTTTAGATCTTTGGATGGTGTTATGTTGTCTCACCTTTGTTTGGATCTTTAGGTAGTGTTATTGTGTTGTCTCACCTTTGTTTAGATCTTTGGGTAATGTTATCGTGTTGTCTCACCTTTGTTTAGATCTTTGGTAGTGTTATCGTGTTGTCTCACCTTTGTTTAGATCTTTGGTAGTGTTATCGTGTTGTCTCACCTTTGTTTAGATCTTTGGTAGTGTTATCGTGTTGTCTCACCTTTGTTTAGATCTTTGGATAGTGTTATTGGATAGTCTCACCTTTATTTAGATCTTTGGGTAGTGTTAGCATGTTGTCTCATCTTTGTTTAGATCTTTGGATGGTGTTATCATGTTGTCTCACCTTTATTTAGATCTTTGGGTAGTGTTATTGTGTTGTCTCACCTTTGTTTAGATCTTTGGGTAATGTTATTGGGTAGTCTCACCTTTGTTTAGATCTTTGGGTAATGTTATTGTGTTGTCTCACCTTTGTTTAGATCTTTGGGTAGTGTTATTGGGTAGTCTCACCTTTATTTAGATCTTTGGGTAGTGTTATCGGGTAGTCTCACCTTTGTTTAGATCTTTGGGTAATGTTATTGGGTAGTCTCACCTTTATTTAGATCTTTGGTAGTGTTATCGTGTTGTCTCACCTTTGTTTAGATCTTTGGGTAGTGTTATTGGGTAGTCTCACCTTTATTTAGATCTTTGGTAGTGTTATTGGGTAGTCTCACCTTTATTTAGATCTTTGGGTAGTGTTAGCATGTTGTCTCATCTTTGTTTAGATCTTTGGATGGTGTTATCATGTTGTCTCACCTTTATTTAGACCTTTGGGTAGTGTTATTGTGTTGTCTCACCTTTGTTTAGATCTTTGGTAGTGTTATCGTGTTGTCTCACCTTTGTTTAGATCTTTGGGTAATGTTATTGGGTAGTCTCACCTTTTTTTAGATCTTTGGGTAATGTTATTGTGTTGTCTCACCTTTGTTTAGATCTTTGGGTAGTGTTATTGGGTAGTCTCACCTTTATTTAGATCTTTGGTAGTGTTATCGGGTAGTCTCACCTTTGTTTAGATCTTTGGGTAGTGTTATTGGGTAGTCTCACCTTTATTTAGATCTTTGGTAGTGTTATCGGGTAGTCTCACCTTTGTTTAGATCTTTGGGTAGTGTTATTGGGTAGTCTCACCTTTATTTAGATCTTTGGTAGTGTTATCGGGTAGTCTCACCTTTGTTTAGATCTTTGGGTAATGTTATTGGGTAGTCTCACCTTTGTTTAGATATTTGGTAGTGTTATCGGGTAGTCTCACCTTTGTTTGGATATTTGGGTAATATTATTGGTTAGTCTTGCCTTTGCTTAGATCTTTTGGTAGTGTTATTGGGTAGTCTCACCTTTGTTTAGACCTTTGGGTAGTGTTATTGGGTAGTCTCACCTTTATTTAGATCTTTGGTAGTGTTATCGGGTAGTCTCACCTTTGTTTAGATCTTTGGGTAATGTTATTGGATAGTCTCACCTTTGTTTAGATCTTTGGGTAATGTTATTGGGTAGTCTCACCTTTGTTTAGATCTTTGGGTAATGTTATTGGGTAGTCTCACCTTTGTTTAGATCTTTGGGTAGTGTTATCGGGTAGTCTCACCTTTGTTTAGATCTTTGGGTAGTGTTATCGGGTAGTCTCACCTTTGTTTAGATCTTTGGGTAGTGTTATCGGGTAGTCTCACCTTTGTTTAGATCTTTGGGTAATATTATTGGGTAGTCTCACCTTTGTTTAGATCTTTGGGTAGTGTTATCGGGTAGTCTCACCTTTATTTAGATCTTTGGGTAGTGTTATCGGGTAGTCTCACCTTTGTTTAGATCATTGGGTAGTGTTATCGGGTAGTCTCACCTTTGTTTAGATCTTTTGGTAGTGTTATCGGGTAGTCTCACCTTTGTTTAGATCTTTGGGTAGTGTTATTGGGTAGTCTCACCTTTGTTTAGATCTTTGGGTAGTGTTATCGGGTAGTCTCACCTTTATAGAAGAAGCTGGAATCATCATTAAGATGTAATGATATTTCTGTAATTTTGAGTTTAGCAGGTGTCATTCATTGAACATGTGAACTATCATTGACCATGTGTAGTTTGGGCTAACAAAATTGACATATTTTGAAACTTATCAGGAAACCAACTCCAGAAATGGCTACCTTGAAAGGCAGCTGTTGGCGTACATCACCTGTAATATTTGTACACCGTTGGCAGTTCATGAGCTGGTAATACTCAACTGGTAATGTTCAGTTTACACAGCCTCATTGCTATATAATGTAAAGCATTCGACCCAAAGGGTCATTAAGACCTATATACAACAATTGTGTTTCATCAGTCATATTGTCTCCTTAGAAAATATATCCCCATTCTCTGTACATTTTGTCAATGATATACTTATAGAACTGAACTACGCTTACAATATTACTTTCTTGAACCCAAAACGCAGAAAACTCTTTAAGTTCAGTAAAATATGTCAATTCTCTTGTGAAGAATTTTACATTTACAAATTTCTTACTTTGACTTGGAAAATCTGTCTTGTTGGTCCGCAAACTGGATACATCCATCCATTTTGAATGCAGAATCTCGTAATGCATTATTGTATATGCAGTTGGACAACTCACTGCTGCAACAAATTCTTAGTCCCACATACAGACTAGACAGGGAGAATATCCGATACAGATACATACTCTATCAGGAATAAATCCATCTGGGGCCAAGATCAATGTATGACACATGTTTCTGCTGAAAAAATGTTCCATAAAGAGACTGTGCAGGTTGTTTGTTGTTTACGTGTTGGGTAATCTGCCAATCATACAGGAAGGTCTGTCTATCCTTCTCACTGGTGCAGTATTGTGTATACCTAACCACCATACTTACATGGTATCAGTACACATATCCCAGTCAAACGTGTGAAGGACACCTTCCTAGAATTGGCAGGTTTGCCAAACACTGGGAGACTGCCCCGTCAACAGGTTGCCAGTAGTTGGACCCTCTGTAAGTATGTCAATTATGCATGAATTTTGGCCTTGCGATTTGAAATCACTGATAACTGAATGGTCAGTTTAAACTTTGACCTCCTTACCAACTTCTGGTGGACATTGAATGGTATCTATGCTTTGGTGCACTAGCGAGTAGAAACGAGATTAACTTGACTCACCTGTTGATGTTAGGGAGCTGATCATAAAGAAACAGAGTGTACCATACTTAGTGTTGTCAGTGATGGAAGATTATTTAGTGATGATGGGAAATATTACAAGAAATATTTAAACAGGTAAGACTGGACTATGTATGCTATTTATAGGAAATGTTTAAACAGGTGAGACTGGACTATGTATGCAGTTTATAGGAAATGTTTAAACAGGTGAGACTGGACTACCGGGTATGTGTGCTTTTTATAGGAAATGTTTAAACAGGTGAGACTGGACTATGTATGCTGTTTATAGGAAATATTTAAACAGGTGAGACTGGACTATGTATGCAGTTTATAGGAAATGTTTAAACAGGTGAGACTGGACTACCGGGTATGTATGCTTTTTATAGGAAATGTTTAAACAGGTGAGACTGGACTTTTGCAGTTTATAGGAAATGTTTAAACAGGTGAGACTGGACTATGTATGCTGTTTATAGGAAATGTTTAAACAGGTGAGACTGGACTATGCATGCTGTTTATAGGAAATATTTAAACAGGTGAGACTGGACTATGTATGCTGTTTATAGGAAATATTTAAACAGGTGAGACTGGACTACCGGGTATGTGTGCTTTTTATAGGAAATGTTTAAACAGGTGAGACTGGACTATGTATGCTGTTTATAGGAAATATTTAAATAGGTGAGACTGGACTATGTATGCTGTTTATAGGAAATATTTAAACAGGTGAGACTGGACTATGTATGCTGTTTATAGGAAATGTTTAAACAGGTGAGACTGGACTACCGGGGTATGTGTGCTTTTTATAGGAAATGTTTAAACAGGTGAGACTGGACTATGTATGCTGTTTATAGGAAATGTTTAAACAGGTGAGACTGGACTATGTATGCTGTTTATAGGAAATGTTTAAACAGGTGAGACTGGACTATGTATACTTTTTATAGGAAATGTTTAAACAGGTGAGACTAGACTATGTATACTTTTTATAGAAAATATTTAAACAGGTGAGACTATGCTATTTGAAAGACTTGATATTTCTCCACACAAAATCAATTCCTGTTTTTAAAGAAGAAATTGGTATCTGCTCCCCATAGGTAAATTACATCTTTGTGACATCTACAACTTCAGTTCTTTTTATGGATGATGAGTTTTCCTTCTGGAGATGAAACAGTGATTTCTGTTCTCATTATGAAATTCAGTTTTCCTTCTGACATTGAAATTTACCCTGCTACAAGGAGAAGTTGACTTTCCATTTAGAGGTAAAATTTGAATTATCAAATATAGCTAGGATTGATTTTTTTTATCGGCTGCAGAAATTTATAGTTTTAAACTCAATTTCAGTTCTGTGGTGATTAATTAGATTCTTTCTGGCAGATGTGGTTTAAAGTCCATTCTTCAGATGTGTAGTGTTTCTAGAAAGCTGACATTCAGTTTCTCTTTAACAAATTGAAATTCTTATATTTGTAGTGTTTCTAGAAAGCTGACATTCAGTTTCTCTTTAACAAATTGAAATTCTTATATTTGGGTAAAATTAGTTTCCCCTTCAGTCCTTGCCAGAGTTATCTCCCCTACATTAGACAGATTGTACTGGTACGCTGTGTATAAGCTGATCAGCTCTTGTCTCTGGGCCAGAAGGTCAACGTTTATTTACATGGAGATAAGTACAAGGATATTGTTATGTAATCAGAGTGACTTCAGCAACAAAACAGTTCTGTGTGATGTTATAGTTGATGGAACAGTCACCTTATCTGTTTTTGTTTGTAGTTTTGCCAGCTAATTGTATAGTTAGGGGGAAAGGCTCCCATGCATTAATTACAAAAAAGAGCAAGTGTTTCATTCATGCTGGAAATATCTTCCTTCAAATTAGAAAACCTTTTTTGCACATTTTCTCTCAAAGATAATTTCTCTAATTGTTGGATAGTCATCTGATAACAGGTTCTGACACTAATATTTTTGGAGGATTTGATGATAGAGCCAACGCTGTTCAGATTCGTAGGTAGAGTAGAGGATTTGTTTACTCCTCTGCTGGATACCATGACGTATGCATAGTGATTTCGCAGTATGGAAAATCAACCTAGGGAATCAATAACAACAGATTCGTAGTAAGTTGATTTATTTTGAACTGGTTTCGCCCTCTCCGGGCTTCATCAGGACGACAAATTGACAAATCTTTTGGTCTAAAGTACATGAAATGTGGTGCCCTATTCTATTAATAGCAGATGGACATTATGATGTACACATTATCAAACGCGACAATTCGTACTTAACGTTAACGTTTAGTTATATGCGTAAATCTATTAACGTTAACGTTTAGTTATATGCGTAAATCTAAACCTTTGTAGAAAATATATAGCATTAGTGGTTAATTTACGAGATCCATACGGTTACAAAGTTCATATAGTGATTAACTAACAGCATAATGCTTAGAATTGACCAGGTTCATCAAGGCACAAAGTAGACATCTATTCAGATATATAGTGATAAGCTCTGTAGTCTCTAGTAAAAGCATCCTCATAACCGTCCTCAGAGGTGTGCGGGGTTGACTGGGATGTATCCGATGAGCTGTCACTTCACTCGAGATCCTCCTTGAGCATCTCAGTGGCTTGATCCATAATAGGGCGGGATACTCATTTTGCTGCCTACACCAATCCAGTTCCGTAATAATGTTCCGTACACGACTACACGTACATGGCAGGCCAGCCTCCTACTTTCACTACACAGCCTACTACTAACAAAATTATGGAAAACCCTGTATATTTGAATAAATCCATATCAACTTACTCCAAGCTGTTGTGATTGATTGCATAACTTGATATTTTCAAAGATTTTTAATTTGTGGAAACAGTTAATTAACAACATGCTTAAATGACATTCTAGTTTTAAATTCAAATTGGAGTTGGAATAAATACTCATATGAATGTATGTTTAAAATTCTTGTCCATATTTTCTCAAGATATCACATATGGATTAAAATGACTGGCAATATCACATTGAGAAATTTGATCACTTAATTAAGTCCACACACACTATCCTTGTGAATTGAAAATATGTCAGCTTGCAGCAGTTATACACCAATATTGAGTTTAGATTTGGAAATAATTTTTTTCATGGAAAATTTTGAAGACCAGAATTTTGGTTAGATTTCATTATCATCTTTATCACCACTGTTTTGTACACAGGTTCATGTGCTGGCCTGTGTGGACTAAACATAGCCTACAAAATATCACGTTACTAATTTCTGTACACAACAACAAAATGATGTCAAAACATTTCACAGACAACCTGTTCTATACCAGTATTACGTGTCACTAAAATTTCTGCTTCCAATTTATAACGTAAACATTTCAAAATCATACAACAACAGACATGGACGGAAACCCTAAAACAACCTGTTGGTCGCAATAGTTGCATGTGCACCACATGTCGTGAGGTACACTAGCAGACAGGTGCAGACTCTATATACACATAGAGCTTTACTCAGTTACATTTGCAAGTGTTGTGGTGCAGGTTCTCCAGACTTGTATCTTCTGCTAACTTGTGTCTTTTGTTGTTTCTAGTGTTGTGGTGCTGGTTCTCCAGAATTGTATCTTCTGCTAATTTGTGTCTTTTGTTGTTTCTAGTGTTGTGATGCAGGTTCTCCAGACTTGTATCTTCTGCTAATTTGTGTCTTTTGTTGTTTCTAGTGTTGTGGTGCAGGTTCTCAAGGCTTGTGTCTTCTGCTAACTTGTCTTTTGTTGTTTTTAGTGTTGTGGTGCAGGTTCTCCAGACTTGTATCTTCTGCTAACTTGTGTCTTTTGTTGTTTCTAGTGTTGTGGTGCAGGTTCTCAAGGCTTGTGTCTTCTGCTCACTTGTGTCTTTGGGTGTTTCTGGTGTTGTGGTGCTGGTTCTCCAGGCTTGTGTCTTCAGCTCACTCATGTCTTTGGTTGTTTCTGGTGTTGTGGTGCTGGTTCTCCAGACTTGTATCTTCTGCTAACTTGTGTCTTTTGTTGTTTCTGGTGTTGTGGTGCTGGTTCTCCAGACTTGTATCTTCTGCTAACTTGTGTCTTTAGGTGTTGCTAGTGTTGTGGTGCAGGTTCTCCAGGCTTGTGTCTCTGCTAACTTGTCTTTTGTTGTTTCTAGTGTTGTGGTGCAGGTTCTCCAGGCTTGTGTCTTCTGCTAACTTGTGTCTTTTGTTGTTTTAAGTGTTGTGGTGCAGGTTCTCCAGACTTGTATCTTCTGCTAACTTGTGTCTTTTGTTGTTTCTAGTGTTGTGGTGCAGGTTCTCCAGGCTTGTGTCTTCAACCAACTAGTGTCTTTGGTTGTTTCTGGTGGTGTGGTGCTGGTTCTCCAGGCTTGTGTCTTCAGCCAACTTGTGTCTTTAGGTGTTGCTGGTGGTGTGGTGCTGGTTCTCCAGGCTTGTGTCTTCAGCCAACTTGTGTCTTTAGGTGTTGCTGGTGGTGTGGTGCTGGTTCTCCAGGCTTGTGTCTTCAACCAACTTGTGTCTTTAGGTGTCGCTGGTGGTGTGGTGCTGGTTCTCCAGGCTTGTGTCTTCAGCCAACTTGTGTCTTTAGGTGTTGTTGGTGTTGTGGTGCTGGTTCTCCAGGCTTGTGTTTTCAGCTCACTCATGTCTTTGGTTGTTTCTGGTGTTGTGGTGCTGGTTCTCCAGCCTTGTGTCTTCTGCTCACTCATGTCTTTGGTTGTTTCTGGTGTTGTGGTGCTGGTTCTCCAGCCTTGTGTCTTCAGCTCACTCATGTCTTTGGTTGTTTCTGGTGTTGTGGTGCTGGTTCTCCAGGCTTGTGTCTTCAGCTCACTTGTGTCTTTAGGTGTTGCTGGTGTTGTGGTGCTGGTTCTCCAGCCTTGTGTCTTCAGCTCACTCATGTCTTTGGATGTTTCTGGTGTTGTTTTGCTGGTTCTCCAGGCTTGTGTCTTCTGCTCACTTGTGTCTTTGGATGTTGATGCTATTTTACGGTTTACACTGGACAGTTAACACCAGTAAATATGATAGACAATGGACCTGTGTGGTGACAATATTTCTTATTATGACAGATAGACTGTAGTGTTGATCAGTTGATATTTGTCTTCTTCGTTTGCTTAATACAGATCTTAACTTAATTTAACTCAAAATGTGTACCAAAGTTGATTTGAAAATATAAAATTTATTGAAGTATAGGATAAGTTTGTTTAAAAATAATTCATTATAAATATTAGAAATAAAGTCTGGGATATAAAGGTTTGATTAGAAATAATTTAAGTTGGGATAGAAAGTTTGATTAGAAATAATTTGTCTGGAGTAAAATTAATTAAGACTTTATATTATTTCCAGGGATATATTTCTGATAATGGACCTCTTATCATCTACCTGTAATATTTTATTGAATGAATTTAGGAGTTATTTTCCCTTAATAAGTGCTATAAAATACCTATAAAATAGATATAGGATGGTTTCATTATAAATATTGAAGTACAGGAAATTTAAGTTTGTTTAAAAATAATTCAGTATCAGATATGAAAAATTGATTAGAAATAATTTAGTCTGGGATAGAAAAGTTTGATTAGAAATAATTTAGTCTGGAAATAATATGAAGGTTTGATAAGAAATAATTTAGTCTGGGATATAAAGGTTTGATTAGAAATCATTTAGTCTGGGATATAAAGGTTTGATTAGAAATAATTTAGTCTGGGATATAAAGGTTTGATTAGAAATAATTTAGTCTGGGATATAAAGGTTTGATTAGAAATAATTTAGTCTGGAATATAAAGGTTTGATTAGAAATAATTTAGTCTGATATAAAGGTTTTAGAAATAATTTAGTCTGGGATATAAAGGTTTGATTAGAAATAATTTAGTCTGGAATATAAAGGTTTGATTAGAAATAATTCAGTCTGGAATATAAAGGTTTGATTAGAAATAATTTAGTTTGGTATATAAAGGTTTGATTAGAAATCATTTAGTCTGGGATTGAAAAGATGGGGATTTTAAATTTTGATTAGCAATAACACAAGAGATGTAACTATTAGAAAGAATTTTACATCTGCTGCAGTAAAGGAGAATTCTCAAAGTAACAATAATGTTTATCAGTATACAACACCTTAACATGTTGTCAGAACGTGAATATTGTGGGTGGAACAAACTACTGTGGTAACAGTAAACAAGATATAAATTCCATTTGTGTGGTTATGTGAAGAAACGTAAATGATATGTAGATGTCTATCTGAAAGTGTTTAAGCTAGGTTTTGTCCTTTGTCTGTCATTCCACGGTATGTCTGGGTTGGTGACTGGTGTTTACCTTTCTGACCTCTAGCACATGTCTGAGGACAATAAAACTGACCATCACTGACTGTCCAGTGGAGTTAAGGACTTAATCTGGAGTGTTTATTTCCCACATACATTACTGGCTGTGGTTACAATTATCCCTATCAGTGGGAGGAAGTCTAGTGCTTGTGAAAGTTTGTGGCTGTAGGACTAGTGTGTAATGGGATCTAGACACAAGTATATATACAGTCAAAAGTGATGTCACAGGTTTACACTGCTGGACATAGTGCTAATTCTAGACAGACGACAATGCTGATGTTGTAATTGCAGGTGCCATTCAGAAATATCTGTTGGTTGATTATTGGGTGAGAAATCACACAATGTCTGGAAACAATTCTGGTATAGAAAGGCTCACTCCATCTAATGGTAACTTAGTATCCTGGGAGGAAAAGGAGAAAGTGAGTGAGGAAACACCAGCTCAATGTAAACGCAGGAGACTATATCAGGATTACTCAAACTGTTGTAACAATGGAGATGAGGTGATTATTCTTTCTCATAATTTCTCTCAGAATTTTGTTATATCAAGTACTCATGTTGTTATACAGGCAAGATATACATGTATGTATCTATCACATATTTATTCAGCAATAAGTCCTTGTTTCCGTAGAAACCACAACAAATCATTGTCCTGTAGCATACATAATACTTTTGGTCTAGGTTTATACTTTGGCCCCTAGCCAGTATACATACCTAAGTTATAAACCGAAAGAGTTTGAATTCAAATTGAATTTTAAGCCAGAAACATTGGTTTGTTTTTCATTTTACTTATAATAGTAAGCTAACAAGACTAATACCTTGTGATAAACATTAAGGGTCGGATCTATCATGAATGTTGGTGAAGAGTGCATGTGTTATCTGTCAAGATAACAAGGCATGGGTTTTATACAAACAGGGCCAAGGTCAGGGTTCTGGAAATCAGTTATTTCGATCACCCATTTATTTCTGTCTGCTAAAGAGCTTGTATGATATAATTGTAGAAATATTTATATACTACACAACTTAACAACAAACAAAAAGTTAGGTTTGAAAGTTTATAAAACACTTAGTTACTTGTGTCAATCTCCTGTCGGAAGATGTTGACATCTATTGTGACAAACTTCTTTGTTATATGAGAAGTAAAGATCACAAATTGCTGTGGTATCTGTCACATCATATGTTTGTAGGGGGGGGGAACTTACATTATTATCAAAGGTTGTTAGGCAAACAACTTCCTATTTATAACCACCACAGAAATACAATACTCTGGGTTTTTTTTCTACCATTACAGAACATAAATGTATGGGTCGACTTTGAGAGGATCAGATTTCGCTGAGTTGATTTTCTACATGGTTTTAGCCTTTCAAGGTGTTTAAGCTGGTGATAATGCAGCTGTCATTTCATTACTTTCGATAAATAATCCTTTGAATGCACAGGAGATATGTGTAATAGTATACAATGCAGAAAAACATGATGGACAATCTGGTTTTATATTCATTGTTACAGGATCTTAAGGGACCAGTACCATCAAAAGTCCCAAAAGGTCTTGGCTAGTAATAGTCTAGTGGTGATACTTTGTTCTAGTGAGTGACCTTGACATAATTTTACGGTAGTTATGTGTGATGATTACTAGAGAATTTGTCCTTTGTTTGAATAAATAGCCTTGTTTACACCTGAGGTTTGGTTATAGAAAAAATCTCAACAAAGCACAAGGAGATCTAGTATCTATGTAGTAAGCCTTGGGACTGTTGGGTCACTTCAATACATTTACTTCTAACCAAGTGGTTGTTTAAACAATGTGTTCATTAATCATTCATGCGGAAATACAAACTTACTTTGAAGTCTTACATAACGTATATATGTCAAACATATATACATTGTACATTAATTATTTGAAATCAATATAGCCATTTTTTTTTCAAAATTATCTAAAAAGGGTAGAAATACACTATTCTTTGTTTAATAATTTGCAAAGAAAATAAGCTTGTTTAAGTTAAGCCTTTATAATGTTACTGTGTTGTTTTATGAATTTGCCATGCAAGTAATTGCAACACCAAGGGCATGCTCACTTGTCATCTGTTTTCAGTGTCACTCTATTGAGCTGATTGTTGTGTTCCAGGTCTATTGGCACTACGATTTATGTAACCAACTGTTGCCATTAAATGATAAATATTTATCACCAATAGCATCAGCAATCCCATATGATAACCGTTAAATATGCTTCCATCCTTGATACTACTGGCTTTGATGTTGGGTGCTGCTCCTTTGTAATCTTCAGAAGGAGCATATCAGTCTGTGATTGGTCAATTTTTTTCTCCTGGAACCAAATCAGTCTTGTGATTGGTCAGTTTTTTTCTCCTGGAACCAAATCAGCCTGTGATTGGTCAGTTTTTTTCTCCTGGAACCAAATCAGTCTGTGATTGGTCAGTTTTTTTCTCCTGGAACCAAATCAGTTTGTGATCGGTCAGTTTTTATCTCCTGCATCCAAATCGGTCAGTTTTTTTCTCCTGGAACCTATCAAATTACCTGGCTTGTGTCTTCATTTTTGCCATGACATGTTCCAAGGGCACAAAGTGCTAAAGTGATCGTAACCCTGGAGTATCAAGGAGACAGAGAGTTAAAGTGATCGTAACCCTGGAGTATCAAGGAGACAGAGAGCTTAAGTGATCGTAACCCCTGGAGTATCAAGGAGACAGAGAGCTAAAGTGATCGTAACCCCTGGAGTATCAAGGATACAGAGAGCTAAAGTGATCGTAACCCCTGGAGTATCAAGGATACAGAGAGCTAAAGTGATCGTAACCCCTGGAGTATCAAGGATACAGAGAGCTAAAGTGATCGTAACCCCTGGAGTATCAAGGATACAGAGAGCTAAAGTGATCGCAACCCCTGGAGTATCAAGGATACAGAGAGCTAAAGTGATCGTAACCCCTGGAGTATCAAGGAGACAGAGAGCTAAATTGATCGTAACCCCTGGAGTATCAAGGAGACAGAGAGCTAGTGATGTAACATGTAAAAGTTTGTGAAAAGAAACGACCTTGACTCATATTGAAGATTAGAGTTGTCAAATTTTGTAAAACTTTCAGATGGCTTTCTTTTCAGTAACAGAATGCCAAGAATCAAAATACTTGTCTATAGTCCTTAGGATGAAGCCTATCAAAGGTAAAAAAAAGGAAAAACCTTCAACAAGTTAAGGTCATAGGGGTCAAATTTATTAAAACATTCTTACATCTTTTCATTAATGAAGACTTTGAACAGCAAAAGTGTGAAATGTTGATGCATTTGTGAAAAGCATTCAATACCAGTTGAGCAATGCAGGTCCATTGGGCCTCTTACTTGTAGATTTATTTAGTAGCTTCTGCCTTCAATGATAAAATGGTTGCAATAAAATGATGTCGAGGATGACCTTGTCAATTTTTGCATTTGAGGACAGTGATTCTAAATCTGTTGTAGATACAGTAGTATTTAAACACTTGAGTGTAGGTTTATTTATATGCGTGATTTATTTATGGCAATTTGTCTGACACTTGTGTTGGTATTTTAAGCAACAATGATAAACTACAAGCTCCAACAGAACCCCGGCCTTTGTGCTGCAGTAGTTATATCAAGGACAAATCTCAGCAGTTAAATGACCGAGATTTTATCATAGTGCACTGAAATGCATTACACATGCTTTACAGTGGTCACCTAATACATGTTAAAGTGACCAGATGTCATAGATAACAGTGACCAATCACATTGTACCAAAATTTTGGTCTTAAGTTGTACTGTAATCTGGTTGGAAATATCTTGCCAGACACTTTTCTCTCAACAATTATGTAGATACAATGTACATCTATTAGTTGTGGAAAATTTATACAAGACGTAACTGATGTGAGATAATAATATAAGTTAAGTGGTCACTACAGTACTAATCGCTAGTGTTACAACATGCATAGTCCATATATATCTGAAATGTACTAATAAAACACTACTAAATTGATCTCTCAGTCAGTAGAGAATGATAGACATTTCATTCGTAGGTGAAGATCGGAGCTGTGTGATTTGATCTCTACCTGTGGTGACTTGTGTTTCTCAGGTTAAGATCTGAGGTGTGTGGTTTGATCTCTGTCTGTGTTGACTTGTGTTTCTCAGGTTAAGATCTGAGCTGTGTTGTTGTTTGATCTCTACCTGTGGTGACTTGTGTTTCTCAGGTTAAGATCTAAGGTGTGCGGTTTGATCTCTGTCTGTGACTTGTGTTTCTCAGGTTAAGATCTAAGGTGTGTGGTTTGATCTCTGTCTGTGACTTGTGTTTCTCAGGTTAAGATCTGAGGTGTGTGGTTTGATCTCTGTCTGTGACTTGTGTTTCTCAGGTTAAGATCTGAGGTGTGTGGTTTGATCTCTGCCTGTGACTTGTGTTTCTCAGGTTAAGATCTGAGGTGTGTGGTTTGATCTCTGTCTGTGACTTGTGTTTCTCAGGTTAAGATCTAAGGTGTGCGGTTTGATCTCTGTCTGTGACTTGTGTTTCTCAGGTTAAGATCTGAGCTGTGTTGTTGTTTGATCTCTACCTGTGGTGACTTGTGTTTCTCAGGTTAAGATCTGAGCTGTGTTGTTTGATCTCTGTCTGTGACTTGTGTTTCTCAGGTTAAGATCTGAGGTGTGTGGTTTGATCTCTGTCTGTGACTTGTGTTTCTCAGGTTAAGATCTGAGGTGTGTGGTTTGATCTCTGTCTGTGACTTGTGTTTCTCAGGTTAAGATCTGAGCTGTGTTGTTGTTTGATCTCTGCCTGTGGTGACTTGTGTTTCTCAGGTTAAGATCTGAGGTGTGTGGTTTGATCTCTGTCTGTGACTTGTGTTTCTCAGGTTAAGATCTGAGCTGTGTTGTGGTTTGATCTCTGTCTGTGACTTGTGTTTCTCAGGTTAAGATCTGAGCTGTGTTGTTGTTTGATCTCTGTCTGTGACTTGTGTTTCTCAGGTTAAGATCTGAGCTGTGTTGTTGTTTGATCTCTGTCTGTGACTTGTGTTTCTCAGGTTAAGATCTGAGCTGTGTTGTTGTTTGATCTCTGTCTGTGACTTGTGTTTCTCAGGTTAAGATCTGAGCTGTGTTGTTGTTTGATCTCTGTCTGTGACTTGTGTTTCTCAGGTTAAGATCTGAGCTGTGTTGTTGTTTGATCTCTGTCTGTGACTTGTGTTTCTCAGGTTAAGATCTGAGCTGTGTTGTTGTTTGATCTCTGTCTGTGACTTGTGTTTCTCAGGTTAAGATCTGAGCTGTGTTGTTGTTTGATCTCTGTCTGTGACTTGTGTTTCTCAGGTTAAGATCTGAGCTGTGTTGTTGTTTGATCTCTGTCTGTGACTTGTGTTTCTCAGGTTAAGATCTGAGCTGTGTTGTTGTTTGATCTCTGTCTGTGACTTGTGTTTCTCAGGTTAAGATCTGAGCTGTGTTGTTTGATCTCTACCTGTGGTGACTTGTGTTTTAAGATCTGAGGTGTGTGATTTGATCTCTAACTGTGGTGACTTGTGTCTCACAGGTTAAGAAGTGCTATTTGATCTCTGCCCAGGAAAATGAGGTCACAGACCATCCATGCTGTTATATGCTGCCCCTGATGGCTTTACGCTAGCTTTTTCAGTAGATCTATCCAAGTGTAGTCTTTACCTGGTACTTGCAGTACATAAAAGTCTGACAAGATTTTGCAGTATCTCATAATTTGTATCTGTTACATCTATTTCTGGTTATGTTTTCAGTTTAACATCCAAGATATGGAGCACACAGGAGACTATTACATCCAGTCTCAGCAGCTCCAGGCCGCCAATGCTCACTCTCTCCTGGAACATATCTCCAAACTGGACATAGACTCTGAACCACATGAAGTCAGAAAATCTGGTATCATCTGTACCATAGGTAAGGGAGATAAGGCAAGCTGTGTGATCATTCATTAAAAATGTCTGACGAGTTAATGACATTGAACTCGCTCTGTTATCTTGATATGAGGACTTAACTTGAGTTTTATTGGTAAGGGGAGGTAACTCTCCATGGTTTGGTTAATGGGATTTCACTCATACTGTTATTCTGTAAGGAGACTTCATTCAACCAGTTATCTTGGTAGAAGAATTTGACCTTATCTGTTATTTTTGTAAAGGGACATAACTCTACTTGTTTTTGTTTTTTTGTAGGCCCTGCCTGTCGGGAAGTTGCTGTTCTACAGAAAATGATCCATGAAGGAATGAACATTGCACGTCTGAATTTCTCACACGGAACACATGAGGTACCTGTATATACAGGCTTACTAGTAAAGATGAAAATGACCCAATATTGTGATTAAGTTGACATCAAGTGTTGAAGTAAATTAAAGGTGAAATAAGGAGACAATTTTTCCATGTGGTGTTGTCAATCTGACATGCTGCAGACTGACATACTGACATTGATACTTTGATAGAGATCGGCCCAAAATTAGAATATTGTTTGTTTATTGGCGTACACATTTATTTATTTCTGCTGTCAAAACTTTTTTGATTTTTTTTTTCTTCTGGTAATTTTTGTATAAGGATAGTCTATATCATGTTATTTTAATCTCAGACTCATGACTAAGGATAGTCTATATCATGTTATTTTAATCTCAGACTCATGACTAAGGATAGTCTATATCATGTTATTTTAATCTCAGACTCATGACTAAGGATAGTCTATATCATGGTATTTTAATCTCAGACTCATGACTAAGGATAGTCTATATCATGGTATTTTAATCTCAGACTCATGACTAAGGATAGTCTATATCATGTTATTTTAATCTCAGACTCATGACTAAGGATAGTCTACATCATGTTATTTTGATCTCAGACTCATGACTAAGGATAGTCTATATCATGTTATTTTAATCTCAGACTCATGACTAAAGATAGTCTATATCATGTTATTTTAATCCCAGACTCATGACTAAGGATAGTCTATATCATATAGCCTGCTTTATTCTCAGTACCATGAAGGAACTATCAAGAACATTCGTACAGCCATTGAGGGTTTTTCCAACCGCCGCCCAGTCGCCATTGCCCTGGACACTAAGGGACCAGAAATCAGGACAGGGTTACTGGAAGGGGTCAGTATCAGATTAATAATTTTTAATGTTTTGTATGATAAATACAACATAGAAGTTTGTGGTTCCTCACATTTTCTTCAGGTTGGTTATAAATACTGAATAGATGTTCTGATGTCAACACTTAATACCTCCTTACCTGTTTCCATCTAGACCCTCAATTCTTTTCTGACTAGTGGCCTTGATGTTTGACCTTTACCTTGTAGGGAGCATCAGCAGAGGTGACCCTCAGTGCAGGAGCAACTATTAAGATAACCACAGATGACCAGTTCAAAGAGAAATGTTCCAAGGATGTGCTCTGGGTCGACTACAAAAACATCACCAAGGTCATGAAGGTCAAGGACAGGATATTTATTGATGATGGACTCATTTCAGCAGTAGTACAGGAAGTAGGTCAGTAGTCTGACAACATGATAGATAAGTTCAATTCTGGTGCATAAAGCAATTGATTACAACATTTCATGTTTGTGCATGTATTGTCAGGAAATCATGTACTGAAGCCTTACGACAGAGACATTTGTGGCAGTAGCGACAGGTAGATGGGTAGACAGTGACATCTCTAGATCTTCTAGGGTTTTTATTTCATTAAACTCATCATCATCATCAACAGTATCAAATAAATTATACATTCGGTTTCAAGTCCTCAAACTTGATGCTTTCAACATCTACACTACTTTGTTAGTACATGTAGTCACTGTCTCACCACATCCTGCAATTCCAGGACTCCTGTTGATAATTTTGGAAATTTCCATTTGGATTATCCATCAGTTTTAAGACTACTTTCAGTCTTGTGACCAGTAAGTGTCGTTATATGGCGAGTTGGCAATATTCTTTTGAACTGCACAAAAGTTTTTACAGGGCACCTCTCAACAGTATCTCAAATACAGTAGAAATATGTAAATATTCACTTTAAAAATATATGTTTAAATACATAATTAAAGCAGCATTATATAATCTTTCTGTAGTCTACTGTGTAGACAATATTCACTTTAAAAAGATGTTTAAATACATAATTAAACTGATGTTATTAAATCTTTCTGTAGCCTACTGTGTAGACAATATTCACTTTAAAAAGATATGTTTAAATACATAATTATACCAGCATTATATAATCTTTCTGTAGTCTACTGTGTAGACAATATTCACTTTAAAAAGATGTTTAAATACATAATTATACCAGCATTATATAATCCTTCTGTAGTCTACTGTGTAGACAATATTCACTTGAAAAGATATGTTTAAATACATAATTATACGAGCATTATATAATCCTTCTGTAGTCTACTGTGTAGACAATATTCACTTTAAAAAGATATGTTTAAATACATAGTTATACCAGCATTATAAAATCTTTCTGTAGTCTACTGTGTAGACAATATTCACTTTAAAAAGATGTTTAAATACATAATTAAACTAATGTTATTAAATCTTTCTGTAGCCTACTGTGTAGACAATATTCACTTTAAAAAGATATGTTTAAATACATAATTATACCAGCATTATAAAATCTTTTGGACTACTACCAGTATCTAGATAATTTTCAGATTATATACACATAAAAATATAGTATTTATTTAAATGAAAAAATCTAACATGATTAAAAGAAATAGATTTCTATAAAATTTTTACAACAATTATAAAATACATATCCTGTACACACAGTTGTAAGGCTAGATCCAGACCTCATCATCAGTTTTAAAATTGCATTGTTTATGATATGGCTAATTCAAGTATAAGAATCTATCTTGATGTTTGAATGTTAAGATCTTTCCATGAAAACCAATATCTTACCTGGTATTTCATACATCTGTCCATCTTACTGTTTGTGTTGTTTCAATGATTTTTGGTTTGTTCGTCTTTATCCAGTTAGACAAACATGTGCCCTCCACTGTCAGTTGTACAGGAAAAGTCAGACACCTTTAGATCAGACATGTTTTCTCATCCGTGCCTTCCATAATACTACAAAATATTGACAGATGCTTTTTATCGCTGTGATGTAAATCTGTCCTTTGTATAGGAGGATGGTGGCTGTCACACCCACTCTTTGTCGTTTTAATTCGTTTGAAATGGCTATAAATGCATCCTGTGAACTCTTAACTTCTGGTCTTTCACATGTGTCCATGTCTGAACCCAGTTAATGATGATTTCTTGTATAATTCGCCATTTCTGTTGCATGCATCCATGTAGATTTTGCTTAGAATCTTGTCGTGCCTGGCAGCAATCAATCATTCATAATCTTCCTCCATGCAGTTTTATCACAGTGATAAGATTCTGATACAAGTGTATGTAATGTATTGTGATATACTGTGTATGACAGTGATAAGATTCTGATACAAGTGTATGTAATGTATTGTGATATACTGTGTATGACAGTGATAAGATTCTGATACAAGTGTATGTAATGTATTGTGATATACTGTGTTATCACAGTGATAAGATTCTGATACAAGTGTATGTAATGTATTGTGATATACTGTGTATGACAGTGATAAGATTCTGATACAAGTGTATGTAATGTATTGTGATATACTGTGTATGACAGTGATAAGATTCTGATACAAGTGTATGTAATGTATTGTGATATACTGTGTATGACAGTGATAAGATTCTGATACAAGTGTATGTAATGTATTGTGATATACTGTGTTATCACAGTGATAAGATTCTGATACAAGTGTATGTAATGTATTGTGATATACTGTGTTATCACAGTGATAAGATTCTGATACAAGTGTATGTAATGTATTGTGATATACTGTGTATGACAGTGATAAGATTCTGACACAAGTGTATGTAATGTATTGTGATATACTGTGTATGACAGTGATAAGATTCTGACACAAGTGTATGTAATGTATTGTGATATACTGTGTTATCACAGTGATAAGATTCTGATACAAGTGTATGTAATGTATTGTGATATACTGTGTTATCACAGTGATAAGATTCTGATACAAGTGTATGTAATGTATTGTGATATACTGTGTATGACAGTGATAAGATTCTGATACAAGTGTATGTAATGTATTGTGATATACTGTGTATGACAGTGATAAGATTCTGATACAAGTGTATGTAATGTATTGTGATATACTGTGTATGACAGTGATAAGATTCTGACACAAGTGTATGTAATGTATTGTGATATACTGTGTATGACAGTGATAAGATTCTGACACAAGTGTATGTAATGTATTGTGATATACTGTGTATGACAGTGATAAGATTCTGATACAAGTGTATGTAATGTATTGTGATATACTGTGTATGACAGTGATAAGATTCTGACACAAGTGTATGTAATGTATTGTGATATACTGTGTATGACAGTGATAAGATTCTGACACAAGTGTATGTAATGTATTGTGATATACTGTGTATGACAGTGATAAGATTCTGACACAAGTGTATGTAATGTATTGTGATATACTGTGTATGACAGTGATAAGACTCTGACACAAGTGTATGTAATGTATTGTGATATACTGTGTATGACAGTGATAAGATTCTGACACAAGTGTATGTAATGTATTGTGATATACTGTGTTATCACAGTGATAAGATTCTGACACAAGTGTATGTAATGTATTGTGATATACTGTGTTATCACAGTGATAAGATTCTGACACAAGTGTATGTAATGTATTGTGATATACTGTGTTATCACAGTGATAAGACTCTGACACAAGTGTATGTAATGTATTGTGATATACTGTGTTATACAGGCAGTGATTACCTGATCTGTAAGATAGAAAATGGAGGAGACCTTGGCAGTAAGAAGGGCTGTAATCTCCCTGGAATTGCTGTAGATCTGCCAGCTGTCTCTGAAAAGGACAAAGCTGATCTTCGTTTCGGTGTTGAACAAGGTGTAAGTGTGCTGTCTGTCCTATGTGTGCCGAGTCCAACACAGGACTGTAGATTTGGTCTGCAGCAATTACAGACTTAGATTCTCGTAGTCATGCAAGATTTTCTGAAAATGTCCATGTGGAGAATACATTGAAAATGGAAAAATTTACTTACAGTTGAAAAAAAAAATATCTGACTACCTAACTGTAGTAAGTTATCATTTGTTAGATTGGAAATAATTTGTGATATTGAAATCATATATACAGTGATTATCTACATGTGTGATGTTATTTTTGGACAGCATTGGTAAGAAACCTGAGGAATGGTGCTGTATGTTTTTATTCATTTTTGTTTTTTTTTTTTGCTGGGGTCATTAATTGAATTGTAAATTATAGTTGAATTTCACTGACTCTAAAATGAATTTTTTTCCATTCTTACTCTGAAATAAAAAAAAGTTTTTTTTTTTTTTTTTTAAATGACGTCTTTAATTTGGACAATTTGATTTTTTTCTGGACTTTTACCGACCTCTATTTGTTTACCACTCTTACGACCTCTGTTTGTTTACCACTCTTACGACCTCTGTTTGTTTACCACTCTTACGACCTCTGTTTGTTTACCACTCATGTATTATAACATTTACCACTGTGTCACATCTGTCAACATCTATGGGTGAATGAATATACATATTGTTCTCAGCAGACAAATATTGAAGTAAGACATTGAGTATACAGTGGTTTATGTCCTGTGTTATATATAACAGGTGGACATGGTATTCGCCTCCTTCATCAGGAGTGGTCAACACATCACAGACATCCGTAACGTCCTCGGTTCAGAAGGCAAAAATATTAAAATCATTGCCAAGATCGAGAACCACGAGGGAGTGAAAAGGTAAGAACTGAATCTTGAGGTAGGATCTGTTTTATTAGGTGAACATGCTGGAAAGTTATATAATAACCAGGGCAGAGTGATTTAAATAATAAAATAAAAAACAGAAAAAAAAACAAAAAATTAAGAATAACAATAAAACATTGTGTGAAATATAAAAAGAAATGAAATCTGCCAGTATGTAAATTTAATCGAATGAAAAGAAAAGAAAAGAGCTCAGGACCTGTTCTGAAATAAAAAAAAGTTTTTTTTTTTTTTTTTTTTTAAATGACGTCTTTAATTTGGACAATTTGATTTTTTTCTGGACTTTCTATACCTGTGATTTTAGGGAAAATGTTACCTGTTTGTTAGACCTCGTTAGGTTTTAGCTGTATTAATACAGTGTTATTTGTCTGGTATTTGTAAATACATGTTACCCTTATCTAATACGTGGATACATTCTATGACTGACAGATTTGATGAGATCTTAAATGAAACAGACGGAGTGATGGTTGCTCGCGGTGATCTCGGAATCGAGATTCCTGCTGAAAAAGTCTTCCTGGCTCAGAAGATGATGATCAGTCGCTGTAACCGCCAGGGCAAACCAGTGATCTGTGCCACACAGATGCTTGAAAGTATGGTGAAGAAGCCCCGTCCCACGAGGGCCGAGTCCAGTGATGTCGCTAATGCCGTTCTGGATGGTGCTGACTGTGTTATGTTATCAGGGGAGACTGCCAAGGGAGACTACCCACTTGAATCTGTTAAGATGATGCATAAGGTGATTATTGTTAATGTTTGTGTTTCCTTAAAAGTCCATTTTTATATCTATTATTTGAATTTGAAGTTGCTACTGAGTAAAGTTGAATTTTTCTTTAAATGCCTTGAGTGATCATGAAACAAGATGTGTATGACAGGCGAGTTCTTTATTTCTTAAGTTACTATCAGACAGAGTTAGTAATGTGGGAATAAAATTTGTAAATAATTCTTTTTAGGTTCATGTTAACCCATCTACATATTGATCAGTTATGTACAGTTTACAAAGTATTGGTCAGAAGACTTACAAGTGATTAACACATTTCTGTGCAAAGTTGAAATTAAGATACAACAGTCTTATTTGAAGCCGATATTGTCCCAACATACTACTGTACTAGTGTTTGGGTTGTGATGTAACTTTACTGATGGTTGTTCACAGATCTGTCGGGAGGCTGAGTCAGCGGTCTACACCAGTCAGTACTTCGAGGAGATCCGTCAGGATACTGCCCTCCCTATTGAGGTCACACACACTGTAGCCATTGCAGCTGTGGAGGCTTCCTTCAAGTGTATGGCTGCAGCCATCATTGTCATAACAACTACTGGACGGTAATAATTACCCTGTACTAAGCTGGTCATCCTGGTACCGGTTTTATGGTTAAATGTGTTAAAACAACTTGTACGCACTCTACAAATGCTCAGTTAAAATTGTACTATTTAAAATAAATTTAGTTTGTGTGGTGACCTGGATAATCTCAACACAGAGGAGGGTGTGTTGCTGAATTTTTAAGAGATGTCCAAAAAAAAAAAATGTTTTGAAAGAAAAACACAAATGGTTTTTGTTTGAACTAAAACATCTGATAGTATGTTTCAAGAAACTCTGTGTTTAAAGTTATAATATTTGTTATATTGGATCTATATCAGGTTGATCTACTGTACACTGGTATGATTTAGGCATGCTTTATTGTGACTGTGTTCTTTTACTACAGATCTGCTCAGCTGATTTCTAAGTACCGCCCCCGCTGTCCAATCCTGGCCATCACACGTCAGGCCCAGACTGCACGTCAATGTCACTTATACCGCGGAGTGTTCCCCATACATTACGCAGGTATGTGTAGAATGCTGGAAACATTTATTTTATATCAAACAAACTGTATCGGGGGATAAATCCCCATTTTTTTTTAACCCTTTAATGTTCCAAGAGTTTGAAAGTAGACGGTCTAAAAAAATGGAATGTATGAAAGTTGAAAGGGGAGTGTGAAATTTTGAATGCTTCAAATTTTTAATCGGTTTTTAACTTAGAAATGCTAGTTTTAAAACTGTTGCTGTAGGATTTCGGCTTTGGCTATTATTTTTCTGCTGCACTCTTCTTTTCACCGTCTGTATGGTTGTGGTTGATAATTAACCTGGTGTAGTTGGATGTCTAGTTCTGTAGAGTTGTTTTCAACGTCTACAGCAGATAATCAAGAACAAGAGAACTACATGGATATAGTATTGTTTGTTAGCATCCATCCATCTGTCAATGGAAGAAAATTTACGTAACTTTGAAACACTAGGACCAATTCAACTGAAGTGACAGGTCAAGTTTCACATCTGATTAGATTATCGTGAATTGTGAAGGTTGAAGTACCAAACATCCATCCATCTGTCGATGGAGGAAAATTTACGTAACCTTGAAACACTAGGACCAATTCAACTTAAGTGACAGAATATCAAGTTTCACATCTGATTAGATTATCGTGAATTGTGAAGGTTGAGGTACCGAACGTCAAATTTCATGACATACCAATAGCACTGTGTCTATGAATATTACTGTATTAGATGTACAAGTTCTTGTTGGAGGCTCAAGGGTCATCCTCAGAAATATAGTGATCTTTGTATAGGGTTTGTGTTAAACAGTAACGAATGCTATACATATAATTAATGTTGAAGACAAGGTCAGAGGTCAAAGTTCATAAGGACAGTGTTTGATGTGTATCTTCTAACATGGATTGTAACCTATATAGCTAACTTATGTATTGTCTGTATATTTTTGTTCCTTGTCATAAACCAATATTCTTTTCCTTCAAAGAAGGGTTCTACATATTTGTACATTTCCAGATTTTCATTAATGCTATATTTGTGAAGTAACACAGAACGAAACCATGAAATGATGATCCCACCACAATAAATACAACACCCAAATTATCATTACAACTTATTTGTTACTGTTTTCTACTTGTACTTGTACCTCCAAAATATGGCAAGCCTTTGTAAATATTCTGGAAACCTACAAATATGCAGAACTCATCTTTAATCTTTGGTATTTATTATGTGATTGTCCTAGCTGTCTAACCTAGCGTGTAAACCCCCTATATATCCACTTCTGTAAATATCTGTGATTGTTCTAGCTGTCTAACCTAGTGAGTAAACCCCCTATATAATCACCTCTGTAAATATCTGTGATTGTTCTAGCTGTCTAACCTAGCGAGTAAACCCCCTATATAGTCACCTCTGTAAATATCTGTGATTGTTCTAGCTGTCTAACCTAGTGAGTAAACCCCCTATATAGTCGCCTCTGTAAATATCTGTGATATTGTTCTAGCTGTCTATCCTAGCGAGTAAACCCCCTATATAATCACCTCTGTAAATATCTGTGATTGTTCTAGCTGTCTAACCTAGCGTGTAAACCCCCTATATAGTCACCTCTGTAAATATCTGTGATTGTTCTAGCTGTCTAACCTAGCGAGTAAACCCCCTATATAGTCGCCTCTGTAAATATCTGTGATTGTTCTAGCTGTCTATCCTAGCGTGTAAACCCCCTATATAGTCACCTCTGTAAATATCTGTGATTGTTCTAGCTGTCTAACCTAGTGAGTAAACCCCCTATATAGTCACCTCTGTAAATATCTGTGATATTGTTCTAGCTGTCTAACCTAGCGAGTAAACCCCCTATATATCCACTTCTGTAAATATCTGTGATATTGTTCTAGCTGTCTAACCTAGTGAGTAAACCCCCTATATAATCACCTCTGTAAATATCTGTGATTGTTCTAGCTGTCTAACCTAGCGAGTAAACCCCCTATATAATCACTTCTGTAAATATCTGTGATTGTTCTAGCTGTCTAACCTAGCGTGTAAACCCCCTATATAGTCGCCTCTGTAAATATCTGTGATATTGTTCTAGCTGTCTATCCTAGCGAGTAAACCCCCTATATAATCACCTCTGTAAATATCTGTGATTGTTCTAGCTGTCTAACCTAGCGTGTAAACCCCCTATATATCCACTTCTGTAAATATCTGTGATATTGTTCTAGCTGTCTAACCTAGCGAGTAAACCCCCTATATAGTCGCCTCTGTAAATATCTGTGATTGTTCTAGCTGTCTAACCTAGCGAGTAAACCCCCTATATATCCACTTCTGTAAATATCTGTGATATTGTTCTAGCTGTCTAACCTAGTGAGTAAACCCCCTATATAATCACCTCTGTAAATATCTGTGATTGTTCTAGCTGTCTAACCTAGCGAGTAAACCCCCTATATAGTCGCCTCTGTAAATATCTGTGATTGTTCTAGCTGTCTAACCTAGTGAGTAAACCCCCTATATAATCACCTCTGTAAATATCTGTGATATTGTTCTAGCTGTCTAACCTAGCGTGTAAACCCCCTATATATCCACTTCTGTAAATATCTGTGGTATTGTTCTAGCTGTCTAACCTAGTGAGTAAACCCCCTATATAGTCGCCTCTGTAAATATCTGTGATATTGTTCTAGCTGTCTATCCTAGCGAGTAAACCCCCTATATAATCACCTCTGTAAATATCTGTGATTGTTCTAGCTGTCTAACCTAGCGAGTAAACCCCCTATATAATCACCTCTGTAAATATCTGTGATATTGTTCTAGCTGTCTAACCTAGCGTGTAAACCCCCTATATATCCACTTCTGTAAATATCTGTGGTATTGTTCTAGCTGTCTAACCTAGTGAGTAAACCCCCTATATAGTCGCCTCTGTAAATATCTGTGATATTGTTCTAGCTGTCTAACCTAGTGAGTAAACCCCCTATATAATCACCTCTGTAAATATCTGTGATTGTTCTAGCTGTCTAACCTAGCGAGTAAACCCCTATATAGTCGCCTCTGTAAATATCTGTGATTGTTCTAGCTGTCTAACCTAGTGAGTAAACCCCCTATATAGTCACCTCTGTAAATATCTGTGATATTGTTCTAGCTGTCTAACCTAGCGAGTAAACCCCCTATATAGTCGCCTCTGTAAATATCTGTGATTGTTCTAGCTGTCTAACCTAGCGAGTAAACCCCCTATATATCCACTTCTGTAAATATCTGTGATTGTTCTAGCTGTCTAACCTAGCGAGTAAACCCCCTATATATCCACTTCTGTAAATATCTGTGATTGTTCTAGCTGTCTAACCTAGCGAGTAAACCCCCTATATAGTCGCCTCTGTAAATATCTGTGATTGTTCTAGCTGTCTAACCTAGCGAGTAAACCCCCTATATAGTCGCCTCTGTAAATATCTGTGATTGTCCTAGCTGTCTAACCTAGCGAGTAAACCCCCTATATAGTCACCTCTGTAAATATCTGTGATTGTTCTAGCTGTCTAACCTAGCGAGTAAACCCCCTATATAGTCACATGCATGCATGACCTTTGTACTCACAGACCAGGCCAAATAAAATGTTTGTTTCAGGTAGACATTTCCTCACAGGTTTCATTTCCATGAGTGTATTAACCTTACAACTGTGGTATTTTATGTCAAATGAAATCTTGAGCCATAATTTTCAGGCACTAGATCTTGTCGTTACATAATGAGACATTGTATTTTACAACAAGCAATAACACAGGATAAACCTGAAACATAACATGATATTGGTTTGGCCTTTCCTTGGATTATTGTTCTTAACCTGCATGTCGTTGCTTGATGTTTGAACATTACAGAACCAAGAGAACATCTGTGGACAGCAGACATGGACAAGCGTGTGTATGAAACGCTCGCCTTCGGGCGTGAAAAGGGCATATTAAAAACGGGGGATTTAGTTGTCTTACTAAGTGGCTGGCAAGCGGGCAGTGGCAATACAAACACTGTTCGTATACTAGCTGTGTCGAACGGAAAGAATCCTCCCATACACCACTGTCTACCTAACACAACTCACACAGACTAAAATGGCATCTCTCTTAATGATGTGCCTTGAACATTTGAAGGAAAGATATTTGTATGATATCTGTGATACCATACAGACTGTGATATCATTACTTTGGAGCACCTTAAACATTGTCACTAGTCTTCATTTATCATCAGGAGTTACAGTCACGTTTCTACTGTGATATTCATTATACATACTTATAAAACTGTCAATAACATTGAAATGCCCGCTACGGAGAAAACTGATTTGATAAACAGTTCAGTAAGTGTAGATACAATTAAAACCCACAATACAAGGCAGTACTGTTCAGTAGAGGTTCGTTTAGTTTGATCCTTGATAAATATCATTATCTTTACAGATGTTCAAAATTTGTTTCATGTGGTAAATTCTATAGTTCTCAGTATCCAGAACTGTTTAGACATCAGTCCCGGCCATTATTGGACGATAACATTCATATTGTTAAGGATCTGGTAGTTTTCATGTAGAGAGGGCACCCATTACTATAGATATACAGTACATATTTATATTAATCACATCTTGTTGGGGACAGATAGGGGGCTGCGATGTCCTACACAGTATAATCTGGACAGTTGTTGATCATATTGATGTTTTTTATGTCCTATTTTATACCCGTTTTCCATTCCTTATAATATTTTCATATTAACCAATATATTTATGAAATGCTTACCTTGGTGTTGTGTTGTGTTGTTAGTCATATTAGTGAAGAAAACTGACAATTATTTACGAAAAAATCCTATATTTATGAGATTAAGAATGACCCTAACACAAAGCAGTTCTGTAGATTTCTTCTGTGAGATGTCTAACTTAAAACCAGCTCGTTATACACAGAGCAATGTCATATCAACTAACAAAAACCAGAGAGAAAAAAAAGATGAAAGAGCTTGGTAGAAGTTTATAAAAAGCAGGTGGATTTTCCTTACCACTAGCTTTTCAGTCAGAAATCTGCTCCATAAGTTTAAACATTATAAATGATTCAACACTGTGAGTTTATCTATTCTTCCACAGTTGATCACATTGTTGTTATGGTGCATCATCTTATTCATCCACTTATTTGTCTGTCTTCCTTGTTTACTGTAGAACATTAATGGCTTTTTTTTTTTTTTTAAATATTTTTTAATGAATGACTCGGTATGAAAGCCTGAAAGGAAACAGAATCAGTGTGATGTATGTCTTAATCTTTGGTTTCTGTCCACAAAAAATTTTGATGGCGACTTTGCTGAATCTACTGATACAATGACTATACCAAACTTCTGCTTTAAAGGGGTTTAAGTGATGTCAGGTTCTCCTCTGTTCCAACATGATATAAAGATGAGTTAAATAAAGGGACATTGTATATGACGTAGACATTGTGGGGACAGGGAGTAGTATAATGTGAGACATCAGTATTGTTCATATCAGTATAGGGTAAATGAAGAATATGTCGATGTAGTTTTCAATTTCTCTCATCCTGAATTAACAAATTGATCTCGTCTCTGTTGCCAAAGTGTATCCGGATGAGTTAGAGTTTCCGTCCGATACTCCAGGTACTGTGAGTTTGATCCACACACAATTCGTTTGCATCCTATTGCTTGAAGAAGCATGGCGATGTTGGCTCTGACATTCCGTATACCTTTTTACCAATATTCTAGTTTTGTTTTGTTTGTCATTTAGCTACTTCTTACCGCCAAATAATGTTAAAAATTGTCTTCATTTTTTTCGCTTTGATAGCACTATCTAGTTAGGCACAGAAAAGCCTATGCTGACAATGAACACTTACTCATACAGTTTGTATTATACACCAAAACATAGCACTATCTAGTTAGGCACAGAAAAGCCTATGCTGACAATGAACACTTACTCATACAGTTTGTATTATACACCAAAACAAGGAAACACTTCTCTGGCTGTGACAAAGGAACAGGTGTTAACTTTCTATCAGGGTCCATACCCATATAAGGAGTTTCAATCATTTTCTCAGATAGTAGAAGTTCCTGTGATAACCATATTTGTTATATCATTAAATCTCTGACTGTACAACTCTCTGAGGACAGAACTAGAGAACTGATTTACTTAAGTTAATTTTGCAGGTGAAAATATGAAATTTTAGTGAATTTAAAGAATGGGCAAAGACTCCACAAATTTCCAAACTTACCTGTGATTTGAACACTTAAATTGGGAATTTTAGTGAGTCAAAGTGGAAAAGCAAAACATATGATTCCAACAGAATTCCTATCTGTTGACCATCCATATTAGGTTTTATATTCAGAACTGCTGACCTGTAGCATTGTGTAATGTTATGGTGGGATTTTGTAGCTTCACTTTAACTGTTGACAAATAAATTGCTGAATGTAGGATTAGTTAGTCAAGTGGATGTAGTAAAAGAGAAATATTTTATTCAACTTTCACTACATTGCTTACATCACAAGAGAAGCTCATAATCTTCGTACTTATTATCATTATAATGATGTTAGTCTGGCAGAAATCTGTTAGACTGGTCCTTAAGGATTTACCTTTATTCAGTACTTAACATTCAACATGCTATGCCTTAGGATTTTCTAAAATAAAATTGATGAAATTTCAGTGGACTTCATTTAAAGGATATTTAAGGTGACATGAAAATAGTGCTTACCTGATCCATCTCATAAGTGTGGCAAATATATTGTTGATTTGTGATTGTCCATAATGACCTTAGCAATGAAATACAGTGATGTACATAACTACACACCTACAGTGATGTACATAACACACATTAAGTACCTACACCTACAGTGATGTACATAACTACACACCTACAGTGATGTACATAACTACACACATAAGTACCTACCCTACAGTGATGTACATACCTACACACATAAGTACCTACACCTACAGTGATGTACATAACTACACACATAAGTACCTGCACCCACAGTGATGTACATAACTACACACAGAAGTACCTACACATACAGTGATGTACATAACTACACACCTACATTGATGTACATAACTACACACCTACAGTGATGTACATAACTTCACACATAAGTACCTACACCTACAGTGATGTACATAACTACACACATAAGTACCTACACCTACAGTGATGTACATAACTACACACATAAGTACCTACACCTACAGTGATGTACATAACTACACACATAAGTACCTACACCTACAGTGATGTACATAACTACACACCTACAGTGATGTACATAACTACACACCTACAGTGATGTACATAACTACACACATAAGTACCTACACCTACAGTGATGTACATAACTACACACATAAGTACCTACACCTACAGTGATGTACATAACTACACACCTACAGTGATGTACATAACTACACACCTACAGTGATGTACATAACTACACACATAAGTACCTACACCTACAGTGATGTACATAACTACACACCTACAGTGATGTACATAACTACACACATAAGTACCTACACCTACAGTGATGTACATAACTACACACAGAAGTACCTACACCTACAGTGATGTACATAACTACACACAGAAGTACCTACACCTACAGTGATGTACATAACTACACACAGAAGTACCTACACCTACAGTGTTACCTGTTAGTCACTGTTAAGATCAGTACAGAAGTTGATGAGGCTGAGGGAGACTTATATTTCTGTTAAATTTTACCCTTGAGATGTTTACATCCAGTTTTATTAATGAAGTTCAGTCTCGATGAAACAGGTTGACCTGTTTTGGTTTGTTTTTTCAGCATGTGTTCCTTTCCTTGTTTTACTAATGTTTTTGTTTGGCATTTTCTAGTGATTGTTTCTAGTGTGTGGTGGTGCATAATGCATTGCTGTGTACGATACCTTCTGTGTGTGTCATTACTGTAAATAGATGTTATCCAGTCTTTATAACTATGTAAATATCACATGAGAAGGAAGTACCACTGACCAGAGATATCACTCTGATATGTACAAATGTAATGTATAAACACTTCTTAGTTGCATTTTGTTGTGTTCAGATTCTTACCAGTTAAAATTTCACATTGTTCAGGGGTGTACAATTCCACTAGTCCCACCCCACTCCCTCTCCAGAGCTGGCAATACCACTAGTCCCACCCCACTCCCTCTCCAGAGCTGGTAATACCACTAGTCCCACCCCACTCCTTCTTCAGAGCTAGTAATACCACTAGCCCCACCCCACTCCCTCTCCAGAGCTGGTAATACCACTAGCCCCACCCCACTCCCTCTCCAGAGCTGGTAATACCACTAGCCCCACCCCACTCCCTCTCCAGAGCTGGTAATACCACTAGCCCCACCCCACTCCCTCTCCAGAGCTCAGAGCTAGTAATACCACTAGCCCCACCCCACTCCCTCTCCAGAGCTGGTAATACCACTAGTCCCACCCCACTCCCTCTCCAGAGCTGGTAATACCACTAGCCCCACCCCCTCTCCAGAGCTAGTAATACCACTAGTCCCACCCCACTCCCTCTCCAGAGCTAGTAATACCACTAGCCCCACCCCACTCCCTCTCCAGAGCTAGTAATACCACTAGCCCCACCCTACTCCCTCACCTGAGCTAGTAATACCACTAGTCCCTCCCCACTCCCTCTCCTGAGCTAGTAATACCACTAGCCCCACCCCACTCCCTCTCCAGAGCTAGTAATACCACTAGTCTCACCCTACTCCCTCTCCTGAGCAGATAATACCACTAGTCTCACCCCACTCCCTCTCCTGAGCAAGTAATACCACTAGCCCCACCCCACTCCCTCTCCTGAGCAGATAATACCACTAGCCCCACCCTACTCCCTCACCTGAGCTAGTAATACCACTAGTCCCACCCCACTCCCTCTCCAGAGCTAGTAATACCACTAGCCCCACCCTACTCCCTCTCCAGAGCTACTAATACCACTAGCTCCACCCTACTCCCTCTCCAGAGCTAGTAATACCACTAGCCCCACCCTACTCCCTCTCCTGAGCTAGTAATACCACTAGCCCCACCCCACTCCCTCTCCAGAGCTAGTAATACCACTAGTCCCACCCTACTCCCTCTCCTGAGCAGCCCCACCCCATAATACCACTAGTCTCACCCCACTCCCTCTCCTGAGCAAGTAATACCACTAGCCCCACCCTACTCCCTCTCCTGAGCAGATAATACCACTAGTCCCACCCCACTCCCTCTCCAGAGCTAGTAATACCACTAGCCCCACCCTACTCCCTCACCTGAGCAGATAATACCACTAGCCCCACCCCACTCCCTCTCCTGAGCAGATAATACCACTAGTCTCACCCCATTCCCTCTCCTGAGCAAGTAATACCACTAGTCCCACCCCACTCCCTCTCCTGAGCAGATAATACCACTAGTCTCACCCCACTCCCTCTCCTGAGCAAGTAATACCACTAGCCCCACCCTACTCCCTCACCTGAGCAGATAATACCACTAGCCCAAACCCACTCCCTCTCCAGAGCTAATAATACCACTAGCCCCACCCCACTCCCTCTCCAGAGCTAGTAATACCACTAGTCCCACCCTACTCCCTCACCTGAGCAGATAATACCACTAGCCCAAACCCACTCCCTCTCCTGAGCTAGTTATACCTCTAGCCCCACCCCACTCCCTCTCCTGAGCTAGTAATTCCACTAGCACCATCCAGTCCTCACTGTTCAGATTTGATGTCATATGTACTTTTCCTTTTTCTTGGCTTATAGACATAGATGTATTGTTACATTAACCCAATCAACACTCGAGGCTAACAGCTCTGGTCTAAATTACTAAGTACAATGACACTTTACCGTGCAATAGGACAAGGAGATTTCATGTTAACAGCTTTAGTATATGAAATAATTGTCTCAACCCCAGGGTTTTATTAAAGTTGAAATCAAACAATTTCCTAATACAGTACTCAACTATCATCAGGACGATGCACTTTATGTGAAATTGCACTCCCCTGGTGTTTTTGTAGCATGGCATTCATTTGTTGGTGAAAAAAAATCTTGTTCTTGTTCATTAACTTCTGAATATGATTTATGATAATTTGTGGAGTATTTAGTTTGCAGTAATATTTAGTCAATTTTGTAGTGACCAGTTACTGTCAGTAACGGTTGATAAACTGCTTCACCATCTTTCATTTAGCTGATATCTATACTGTACAAATTAATGAAAAAGATAAGAAAATACTGTATTGAAACTATGTTAAGTTCAGGAAAACATGAAAAATTTAGCTTAATTTTGACAAAAATCTAAAAGGAGATTAAAATTTGGTGAGTTAACTTTATATATATGATTGAATGAAGGTAAATGTGATGTAGCTTTGCTGTGTAAAACAGGCTAACTGTAGTCAGTAGTGGTTCTGACATAACTAACATAATCTGAATTATAGAGATACACATCTTAATTTCATATTCCTTCTTGTAGATAAATATTAAATTTTCCTTGCTTCAAAAAATTTATTTTTCCAACCATACTTACCTCCCTTTGTGATGTTTCAGAACCTGTCCTGTCTGAATGGACCGCTGATGTTGATCGCCGTATCTACAAGGGTATTGATGTTAGCATGAAACGTGGATTCGTTAAGGTCGGCGATCCCATCGTTATAGTGACAGGATGGAAACCAGGCTCCGGATCAACAAACACGATGCGGATCATCAACGCTGTGGAGACAGCCAAAAGGGATCAGTTGGACCCCATCACTGGCGTCACAAGCGTACCAAGTTTTTCTGACAAAGACGAAAAGAATTAGTGACACAGATTGTATCGAGGAGCATTTTGATTTTCTTAGCTGGTAATACTTTTGCATTGTGCCCCACACGGGATGTGTTTATGGTGATTTTGTGTAAAAGTCTTTTTTTTTTTTTGTATTAAGATATTATAACAGAGATGTAGACATCTATACATTCCAGTGTATATGTTGTGTACAGAATCGCTCCAATCTCTGGTAGAAAGATATGACTGAAAAAATTATTCACTTTGTCATACTGAGAAGGAGATAAGAGGTTGGCTTTTAATGTGACTATATATAGATAATTATGGATTTCCTGGCAATATAGTGTTTCATGCTGATGGTTTATGCCTCCTCCTAAAAGTATTTGTGGTTCCCACCAGATCAAAGCATAACCAAGACCATCTTGGGTAGAGGGGATTCTCTGGGTCTGAGGTAAAAGCCTTGGTACTTATTTATTGTATAGAAGTTCAGTTTTGATTGTGAAGTCCTCTGTGGTGAGACATGTAGCTGCAGTATTTTTCACTGCAATAGAAGGCTTTTTTTTACACAGATATTTGTAAGTGTGGGATGAGTTATAGTATGTCTCCTTCATCTGTCAGGTGACCACCGAGAGTAAGGGGAGATAATTCTAATAGACCTGAAGTGTTCTGTCTGTTTCTTGTTCACTTCTTTATTATCGATTACTGTGTCATGGAATTTTTGTGAGAACTAATCTGATGAAATGACTGTAAGGACTGACAGTCTCAGGTGTATGGTAATACATTTGGACACAGCAGGGTAATGGTCTTGAGCTGGTCTCCTTAGCAGTGATAGGGGCTGTATGTTAATTATGTGGACACATTAGATTGTCAATGCTTTAGAAGTAACATTTTAAGTCTAAGTTCATATCAACCTGCAAATAGCTATACAGGTCTCAAAAAGCTTTGTCAAGACTTATTGAAAAGTAGAATAAAGTCTATAGGTCTGTCCTTGATACAGAGACAACCCTGGTCCAAATAGGCAGATAAAACAATCCAACTTAAATGTGAGAATCTGGAAAAATATTGATACAGAATATTAATGTATCCAAGAAATAAACTACAATGCTCTATAAATGACTTCAGATGCATTAGACTCGAGACTGAGCTTGAATACACACTGTTTTTAACATTATTAACAATTGAGACATAAAGCTGTTTCTGACAGAAAGTATTTTAAAAGCAACAACATGTTGCGTGATTTGATGAAACTTTCTGTCTAGTGATTTAAATTACGTCAGATATAAATATTTGTTATTTAATTTTAGACCATATTGTTACTGGATACTGGATGATAATGGTGATATTTTTGTCTAACACTTTTACTCAGTATATTTTTTTTGTCCGGAATGTAGTCACAGAAATAATTTTCACATGTTTTGTGTCTAAATAACTCGAGAGCTGTATTTAATTTATAAACAGAGAAAAAGGAAAGAGTAATTTGCATTTTACTTGAATATTAGATTGAGTTTCTGAAGATAAAATTTATTGATATTATGATGGTAACATATCAGCCCTAATTGTACATGTGATATTGTTGTATGGTCTCTTACATCCTTAGAACCACAAACAAATTAGCATTTACTTATATCTGTATTAAACTTTTATAACAAACTCACTTGAAACAAGTTGATTTTTTCTCTCCTTTGTATCAAAATTGATAATAATAAATAATATTGATAACACAAGTTAGCTTGTTAAGAACTGCTATTTCCCCTAAAACTCCTAGTGAATCTGTAATTAAGTTCAGACCAGAAATAGCATTAATCAAGTGACTACAGTGGTATGTTGAAACTGTATATATGACTATAGTATATCAAGCCATTATATATGTATCGGTTATGACCATCAAGAGTTGACAAGTCTGTGATGTAAAAATTACATGGACAGCCCATCAAAATGAAACTGGCCTGTAGATCCGATACATGCGTGATGTGTATGTTTGTTTCGATAAATGCTCCCATCAGCATTTCATTGATGTGTGACAGACATAACATTACCCGTTGTTATAAACTTAACAGATGAAATATCTTGGCAAATTATTGTTTCATCTTCTCTATTTCAGTGTTTAAAGGAACAAAATCTGAAGGCACAACACTGCTCTTACAAATTATTGAAATCTGGCAGTGGGTGTTTTAATGAGAAAGTGATGTACCTTTCTGTCTGAACAGACAAGCTGTTAGAAGTGCTAATTGTGTGCATTATTTGTTGATTAAGTGCTATAATTACAGATATTTTATTTCGTTAGCTTGTAAAGCACATACAGATGCCATATTTATTTATATAAATTATATTACTAGGATGTTTAGGCGCCATCTCAAGTTCTGCGAGCATTTTTCAGACTAGTTATCTCCCTTATATAGTCTTTGCTTGCCATGTATTCGAGATGACTGATTATTTATTTGTGTTAATGACAGTCTCCCCGTTTCTTCTGTACTGTATAGTTATTGATGTTTATTATGAGAGTATGTTTAACATTGTTACCTTTCTCCACACTACGTTACCCTTGTCTCGTTAATCTCACCCCGAGTTGTTGCCTCAAGAGATAGAACAGCTATGGAAATGAAACATTTTGTTTCACTGTAAAAAAATAAAAGTATAAATGAATTGCGTTTCCTTTTCTGTTGATGTAAGAAATAGATCCTGTAGAACCAGAGGTCCTATAGACAAGATGGTAAGAAAAGCTATTGAAGGGAAACCTTCAGTTCTGTTACCAGATTCCAGAGCATTCTAGATATCTGTTTTCATAGACCATTTTGCTAGATACATTTATCCAACCTCAGTTGTCTCGACCGTTCTAGGTACCTCTATCCAACCTCAGTTGTCTCGACCGTTCTAGGTACCTCCATCCATCTTCAGTTGTCTCGACCGTTCTAGGTACCTCTATCCATCTTCAGTTGTCTCGACCGTTCGAGGTACCTCCATCCCTCTTCAGTTGTCTCGACCGTTCTAGGTACCTCTATCCATCTTCAGTTGTCTCGACCGTTCTAGGTACCTCTATCCGTCTACAGTTGTCTCGACTGTTCTAGGTACCTCTATCCGTCTACAGTTGTCTCGACCGTTCTAGGTACCTCTATCCGTCTACAGTTGTCTCGACCGTTCTAGGTACCTCTATCCGTCTACAGTTGTCTCGACTGTTCTAGGTACCTCTATCCACCTTCAGTTTATTTTATCACAGAAATTGTCTTACATTCTCATCAATCATATTCTTTTCAGTTAGGTTAATGCCCTCCTGGACAAAACTGACCGGCTACACATCAAAACATTAGATTTTAAAACACAAAGTTCATTAACATCTACGAAACGCTTATCAGATGGAGTATGCATCAATTTACCTCCAAGGTTTTTTCTGGGATTCAAAGTTGAAAGGGAAAAGTTGTCTTGAAAAAGAAATGAAAGTCAACATTTCTTTAACTCTAACCAGATATTACATAGATTTCAATACACATACTGTTGGACTTCATTCTGTTTGTTGGGATAATTTACCTGTGAACAGCATTGATGGTTACCTCACTAAACATTTAGGAGACCAAGCTCCCATTTCAGATTAATTAGGGAAAAGTATCTGTGCTAAGATTCTAAAGTAGACGAGTCCAGTTTTCCAGAGAACCTCAAACTACCGCTACCAGGGGCTGTTGAATCACATCCAATATCTGAATAAAAATAGCAAAGTAGTTCTGGAATCCATCCATTATAATGGCCTTTTCACCTCGGCATTGAAGCCAGATAGTTGAAAACTGACATCAGAATATGGAACTTATTCTCGCATACAACACAGTACTATGTAGCACTAAGCATTCCCGAGATAGGCAGTTTCCTAAACATGGACCATGTGTTCTGAATTTGAAGTTTCAATGGATTTCATCACACGATTTGATTCGACATGAATATTTGTACTTCATAGATTTATTGTTGCTTTCCTAAATTCTGTAGCCAATCATCTTCAAGGTCCTTTAGATATTTATCCTGATTTGCATATAATACAACCAGAGGTAGCGGACTACTGTCCATTTTGTGATGAACAGTTTCTGTTCTTTTCAATATGGTTTGTAAATTAATATCAAACTTAGGTTTATATAGCAACATTTCACCCACAAAATACAGATGCTCCAACGCAAGCAATTACAAACAACACCACACCATTATTACTTATATTTGCATATAAAAATGCATTCTATTTATTTACAAGACCAAACAAACGATTGGCCGAAGAGTATGGTTAACCATGCGAGGATAAAAATCTCCCACATCAACACCTGGACATCCAAGACAATCTTGGCTGACCTTCGCCTCACACAAAGTTTCTACACAGACCCAACATTTGTGAATGTAATGTACATTTTTTCAGCTCAAAGTTCTTTTTTGCTCCCCAATTACACACTAGTTCCTAGTTCAGATGCTGATTATCCGGACCAGAAAAATGTTTTCCAAAGCCTGGACAACATCCAAGGACAACCAGTCAAATGGCCGCTGAATTAACGTACATCAGGAGAATTTCACACACCAATCCAACTAATTTCCATCTGAACAACTAAATGCATATAAACAGGTGTCTTTTTCTTAATAAATACTGTAAAACTAGTGAATTTCTCAGATTTGTCACAGTACTTTAACAGAATAAATAAAATCATAAAAAAGAGAACTTGAACATAGCATTTTCATCATTTCATTTCTCAGTATCTGTATTTAAATTCATAATTGGGTCAATAACACTACTTAACACATTCAATACAAAAGATTCAGGTGGCTAAATGCAAGCTTTCCAAGGACATTAAAATTTAGTTATCACCTAAACACACTTTATCAGTAATTTGTGGAAGAAAATATACTTCCTTCTATATCAAACATGCAGTTTTCTTTCTTAACCATTACATAACATTTGCAATTATGTAGCAACAAATTGTCAACCCATAATGAATGTTTGTATTCAATTAAGGATTTTTTTTTATATAAAATTCTAAACTGTCAATCAAAATTTCAGAATTATTATTCTTCAACACAAATTTGAATACATTCATGTGGGTGAACTTCAGGCACTTTTCAATTCTTAACAAAACAAAGCATTCCTCTAGGTCACCCATACAGTTATAATTGGGTAATTCATTGTTTCATAAATTGTAATTAAAATGTTTTGTCTCCATTTACACAAAAACAATCTGGATGTTTTATCAATCAGCCCAACAACGTCCATGAAACAATGAAATCATCAATTAAAACCAAGATTTGTCATCATTTATAACTTCTGTTTACAGAATCATATCTACAAAAATTTTCAAAAAATTCAACAGGTATGTTACAGCTGTCTGCTTTGTTTTACAAACCCATACATCCCCCCAAACTTCATCAGTGGCAGAAAAATTTGAAGTCAACAGTAAACCGACAATGTCCACACTACCCCTAATATTTTATCCAATGTCAACTTGCCAGCAGTGGTCAGATGTTAAGTCAAGTCTGCTTGCCCACTTTTAACAGAATTCAAATGTTAACACAAACTTTGTGCTTAGTTTCGATCCGATTAAACATAAGGGTTATTCCAGTAAAACACCTATCAGACCACACGAATCCAAAATTCTTCACTTCTATTCATGCTCCATTATTTGCCTATTGAACGAAGTATCAGTTAAATTCCATCAATGATATCTTTAACAATATCCAATGACCTGAGAAGGAAATGATGTTTTACTAGAAAAACTCTCACAATTATACAGAAATAGAACAAAGTCTACACAAATCTGAGACATTTCAGTACCAATCCTGCCATTTTTAAAAATGAAATAAATTTTTGAAGATTTTTTTTTTGATAAATGGGACACTGGATCAGATAATCCTTTGACCTTTTATGAAGTGTTTTGCAATACTCCCGGTGAATCTGGTACATGAAGTGGCTGCTAAACACAGAGCAAGTCAGTTCCCATCAACACAAAGTCAATATTATTGTTTGATGAATAATAACTCATAGTCCACAGCTTCATTCCATGTTTCGGATGGAGTTACAGATGAAAATGAATATTCAAATGATAATGAAGTGATAGCCCCCTCTTCCCCATGTGTATGAATAGTTAGTCATCTTCCTCGTCTTCCACTTCGTCGTCTCGTTTCCTCTTCACACCCTGGGGGAGTACTTCTCCTACAACATAAACAAATGGCATTACAAGATGCTAGGCTCGCCAGGAGTTATCCCCCCTGAACAGTAGCTAAGAATACTGCAGACCTACTACATGGCAATGATTTATACCATCAGTTACAGGTCACTTACAAATCTCATCAAACCAATAATATTGTCATTTCAAAGCCCTTTTCAGACCTTAATTAAAGTCTTCAAAGACATTTCACATTCATGATATGCAAATGTTTACACTTCAGATTGTTCAACCACTTGATTTCAATGCCAATTAACTTTCCTGAAGTCTGTCAGTTTCAAATCAGCCATCTTAGAATTTATAGACCCCTGACTTAAACAGGAGTCATTTTTCTAATTTGGACTGAAAGGATATTTCTCTGTATTCAGGCACGTAATCATGTATGTACATAACAGTGAATCACACATTCAAGCATTTGCAGTGTCATGTAGCATAGTGTTAATAATGGAAATTACCTTCTTCATCCTCATCTTCATCAAAATCATCATCTTCATCGACCTCTCCTGGTTCAAAGTCGTCACCATCGGATTCATCCTGTCATCAAAAGCATAAATTTTATAAACATCAATCATTTTCTCACTGTTTGCACACAAGTTACTTTCTGCTTCAATTTTTCTTTCATTTAAAATTTCAGAAGGTATTCATTCATACAGAGAAATATATTGGGTTCTAAAAATAATGGGAATACTCAAATAGAGGACTTAACAGAAGTACTTAAATAGAGGACTTAACAGGAGTACTCAAATAGAGGACTTAACAGAAGTACTCAAATAGAGGACTTAACAGGAGTACTCAAATAGAGGACTTTACAGGCGTACTCAAATAGAGAACTTTACAGTACTCAAATAGAGGACTTTACAGGAGTACTCAAATAGAGGACTTTACAGGGGTACTCAAATAGAGGACTTTACAGGAGTACTCAAATAGAGGACTTTACAGGGGTACTCAAATAGAGGACTTAACAGAAGTACTTAAATAGAGGACTTTACAGGAGTACTCAAATAGAGAACTTTACAGGGGAACTCAAATAGAGGACTTTACAGGGGTACTTAAATAGAGAACTTTACAGGGGTACTCAAATAGAGGACTTAACAGGAGTACTCAAATAGAAGACTTTAAAGGAGCACTCAAATAGAGGACTTTTTATATTCAAATAGAGGACTTGTATATCAAAGCCAAAAACAGCATTGATGAATATTACACTGTTTAGATCACAGGATTTTACCTCTATATTATCTTTCTGTAGCATCTGAAGTGCTGATGCTTCCTCTTCATCTTCATCCTCATCCTCGATGTCTTGTACTTCATCGTCATCATCTAAATCTTCATCATCATCTTCGTCATCATCATCTTCATCATCGTCTTCTCCATCTTCCTCTTCATCTTCTGTTATGACAGAATTTGATTGTACTTTTTAAATATCTTATAACATTAAAGACTTGTTGTCAAACTACAGGACCTACGAACCACACTAAAACTTCCTTAGGGTGTCAGGTGACCTCTGATTAACAATATTTTAGTGTTGCAATCCACAACTAATAATCGAAAATATAACAATTTCTTCGAGATATGAATGACGACACTTCCTACAAGAGTCATTACAAGCCATTTTCAAAAACTAGCAACTGTGACCTAAGTGATGGAAACCAAAACATAATCTACTTGAACTATGTCAGGACAGTAAGCAGCTAAAGCCACTACCTAGGATAGTACAATGAACATATATCCTAAGTGGAAAGCAGATAAAAATCATGGTTCCTAGAATCCATTATCCTACCTTCATTTTCTTCCTCATCATCTTCTTCATCTTCTACTTCTCCATCAACACCTAGAAAATCAATAATGAAAATTCTTTAAACATTTGATATTTGCAACTAAAAAATGATAATGAAATTGTCTGATGTTTGTTTTCCTTTCATTTTGAAGTACCATACAGGATAATACTGTTACTTTGAAACAAAAACTTTAATATTACTTGAAAAAATAAGAATTAACATTTCCTTGTACACACTTGCTGATCTCCCTTAGATTACATGTGGAGTAGAGAAAATAACGACTACTCGGCATATGCAAAAATAGAATGGTCAAAATTGTCAATATAAAATTAGAATGCCTTCATCTGTCACATATAATTCTTTGCTGATCATTTTTATTTGAATTTCAAAATATTGGTTCAAATTTCTTCGGTAAGAATTAAATTTTTTGTTCATTTTTTTTCTCACCAAATCTAGAAATATTCAGAAATGTCTTTTATATGCAATTCATGGTGCAATATTGTTTACAAGTTGTTGATTCACTTTTTAAACTTACTCTGTTTGCTAACCTCAAAAAATTACTTTTAAGAACAAAGGTAAACAACCAATCATAGATTAAATTTTAACGTCATTTCAATATTCAATTCAAACAGGATTTTCTCCAAAAAATATCACCATGCCCTGAAATTACAGCTGGAAATGTCAATAACTTTACATGGTATTGTGGCTGAGAAAGTAAATAATTTTTGTGACTAGGTACATAAACATTTTTCTCATAATGTCAAAATATTCAGTGTACAAAATGTTACTCCTGTTACCATATCACTTACCTTCATCTTCATCCTCGTCAGCTTCTCTGTCGTCTTTGTCGTAACCATCTAAGAAATTTAGGTTAGGTAATAATTCAAACATTTTCTCTTTATAGTCATCTAATGCTGTTACTTCACAGTTAAATAAATCTAAATTTGAAAGATTCTCCAGCTCCGCCTGAAAAAAAAAAAAAAAAAACAGAATGAGCATGTATGAAATAATCATAAGATAATTGTAAATGATGTCAGAAATCTGACTAAAAATAAACTATCGATGTCTGGGTTGACATGAAGCAGTAATTTTGGAAAGAAAATGTCACTTTCAAATGTTCTAAAGACAAAAGTAATTTCAAAATAGAAATGAAATAGATCAGAAAAGTAAAAGAAAATATTTTTGTGGATTTTTTTCAGGTAAAAAGAGGATGGAATCTTTATTGCCCTTTTTTTTTATTAGAAGATCTTCCTCTGAACAAAAGTCTGCTGTTGGTGATGCATCATTCTCTTTTCCTTCCTTTCCAACTTACAATCAGCTTTTGATTTACATTTAGTTCATTATTGCTTCATGTCCCAGTAACAGCCAGGGCGATTTAAGGTCATGTCAGATTTAGGTAGTGGAGGAAAATCCTTGAGAGACCGACCTGCCACTAGAACATGGCAGCTGCCCCATGCAAGTCTATAACCAAGGGTGGAGGGCTTGTGATCAAGGTAAGTGGACGTCTTAACCATCCAGTCAATAAGACTCCCAATTTTACAAAGCGTATTTTTTTAGTCTAAAGGTAACATCTATATCATGAAGCTTAGAAGTTGGACAGAAGCATTTTTTGTTATTTCCATGATACATAGAGGGAACATCTGAAAATATTTTTCAGTCCCATGTCTGCAACTTTTCTTTTGTTCACAACCAAAATACCTACCAATGGTTTTAATGTGTCAATGTCTTTGATTTTGTTCCCACTTAACGTCAAGTGTTCAAGCTTTGGACATCCTGAAAGATGGTTCAGTGTCCCAGAAATTCTGTTGTCGCTTAGTTCCAGCTGAATAAAGCAATATCACAAAATTACAATCAATCATCAGGTAACATTGCACAGTGTGGTGCTCCACAGAAGTGATGGGAAATTGGTTAAATTTATAAACAATTAGACTTCTCAATATAACTAAATGATCATATGTTCAATATTCAGAGAAATTAAAAGTAATTTTCCTTTGTAATATTTCCTTTTTTTACAGCTTTAAACTTGAATACCTTATTTGTGTAGAATTTGGTTCTCACTAAAACACAAGAAAATATTGAAGTACTGATGATCCATTGTGGAGAATTACAATTGATGATCGCATCATATGAAGTCAAGCTATCAGATAATCAATTAATTCTGATCGTCATCTCTTCATTACTCCACATTATTTTTGTAAATGCAAATAATATTTTGCAGAACAAACGTTTATTTAAGAGAAAACTAGCTTTTGTTATGCAGTGATGTACCGAACACTATATTGATAAGGGAACACCACACAGGTTTAAGAGCACATCAAACAAGTTGAACTAGGATTTCATTAAAATTTCTTTGTAAAATCATCCGACATTTAGCAGCAGTTAATTTCCTTCAAGAGTTGCAGAAAGTTGCTGCTATATATTACTACAGAACAATAAACTGAAATACATTATCACTTGACAAATACTGTGATTTTATTATCATCAACATCAGGGACGTATATGACATATGTCATATACGTCCCTGTCAACATTGTCATAATTTTCTCTACTTGAAATTTATCATTATTGCTTACTTTTCTTTCACACCTCTTCCTCACGAGAGATCTCGAGAGGCATAGGAAGTTTGAGCATAACTCAAACTAAATGAGAAACTCTCACCTTCTTTAAATTTGGACGATTTTGGGAAGCCTTTTAATGAGAAACCTCACCTTCTTTAAATTTGGATTTGGGAAGCCTTTTAATGAGGAAACTCTCACCTTCTTTAAATTTGGATTTGGGAAGCCTTTTAATGAGGAAACTCTCACCTTTTTAAATTTGGATTTGGGAAGCCTTTTAATGAGAAACTCTCACCTTTAAATCTGGAAGATTTGGGAAGCCTTTTAATGAGAAACTCACCTTCTTTAAATTTGGATTTGGGAAGCCTTTTAATGAGAAACTCTCACTTTCTTTAAATTTGGAAGATTTGGGAAGCCTTTTAATGAGGAAACTCTCACCCTCTTTAAATTTGGAAGATTTGGGAAGCCTTTTAATGAGAAACTCTCACCTTCTTTAAATTTGAAAGATTTGGGAAGCCTTTTAATGAGAAACCTCACCTTCTTTAAATTTGGAAGATTTGGGAAGCCCTTTAATGAGAAACTCTCACCTTCTTTAAATTTGGAAGAATTGGGAAGCCTTTTAATGAGAAACCTCACCATCTTTAAATTTGGAAGAATTGGGAAGCCTTTTAATGAGAAACTCTCACCTTCTTTAAATTTGGAAGATTTGGGAAGCCTTTTAATGTGGTCAGGCCAACATTGATGAGACTGAGACTTTTCAAATTTGTGTATTCATCTGTGAGTCCTTCAACTTGTGTTGCTCTGCAGTTGTCAAGGTTTAACTCCAAAATCTGACATGAAAATAAAAATCTGATTAATCCATGATAAAGTGAAGTAAACAATATCATAAAAGGTTTTCTTGTTTAAAAACTTGAAGATTTGATTGTCTTCAAAACTTGACATGTTTTTTTTTCTCTCTTTCCCCCTCTCTTCTCAAACCTCTGAATTATTCCAATTAATGTACAAGTCCTCCAAAAAAACTTTTTCATTTATCAATTATATGGCACATTTAATACTCGCTTTTTTGAACATTTTAAATTTTTTATCCAACATTGACATAAAGGTGTCATCACGACAGACTTTTTTAAACGAAAAACAAGGAACTAGAACGACTGGAACTATTTTTTCTGGTCTACGCGTAGAAATACATAAATGAACTGATGACGATCACGTGACCAAGCACCTTGGCAAGCCATCGCTGTGAACGCTAAAGTATTAGCAAGTGAAAACGTACGAATTTACCGGCAAACCACATTAAAATGTCAACAAAATGTTTATATTTTACCGAATTCAATACCATTATTACTGTCACTGACTTAGAATCTATAAATCCGTTCCGATCGCTAAGCCATCGCGAAGCTGTGGGTCTACATTGAGTTGTGCGCAGTTAGGACGCCCAGTGAACAATATGCGAACAAAGGCACTTTATCTCGACAAGCCATTGACGTAGCACCAGCACGTAAAACGCTACGCTATATCCTGAATTAAAGAGTGAATTACTCGCGCTTAGGTATTTGGTAAGTTTTATACCAACTTTATTTACAGTATGAATTTCAAAATATCAAAAGATATTGTCGAATTAATTCAAAATTGGTCGAAAAAGGTCGACCGGAATGCAGATACTTTTACAATAAGAATTCAATATGGCGGACCATGAAAGGTACGCTAACCACAAGCGAAGAGATAACATTACTTTCTGTCAACTTTCCTGAATTAAAAATCATTTGAAATGATCAACAATCAACAATTTCATGGTGAATCTCTTATTATATTTCACAGTACCCAATATTTAGCGCATCTGTGCTCAATCGATTTTCAGAGGAACATGGCACAGTACGTGGAACATTCGTTTGTATGACGAAAGTAGGTCACCGACCTGAATATGTTTTGTACTTCACAACCCATCAAAATTGACAAAGGCTATATAGCGGTGTTTCGATTTGGTATAAATGGAATATAGAATTGAAAAAGAATCTGAACAATGCATGTTAGGCGTGAATTTATCATTGATGAAGCTCGGCCGCTAATATGGCGGACAAACCATACACAAGTCACTGTGACCGTGGCTGGGCTGGTAGGGTGCCACTGACAAGCCTGGTTTCTACAGACGCGCTTGAATATAAATGAGGCCGCTGTTTCGTTAAAATAATTTTTATGATAATTTCAACATTTTATACCTTTGTATACATCGAGTAGCCGGAAGAAAGTTGTTGTGCAGCGATTCAACATGGCGAACCGATGTTGTTGTCGTTGAACAGTGTTGCATCGGGCCAGACCACATGAAGCTAACAATCACTCGTGGTAGGTGGATGCATTTAGGACGATAGTTTATGTTCTCATCACGAAGAACAAAACAAGTGTATGAGCATGACAATTCGTACAAACATAACAAGGCACGGTCTGGTCAAACCAGGCCATTGCCGGACAAAAGCGGACATAATCGACCTGAAAGTTTTCATCACCTAACACAAGTTGGTGGTCCAGTCGCCTGGTGGCTAATTACTGACAATTAGTCGAAAACAAACATGTCATACGGTGAATACATGTGTTAAACGAGATGGTGAACAAATGAAAACACTCGATCAGATTCTAAGTTGAATGGTAGGCTGATATTCTGAAGATTGACAACTCGGATCTGTACTAACAAGAGGCGCCATATTTGAGCCGACATTAGAACACAGCTAGACAAAAACATGCATTTGTAAACAACATTCTTTGCCTATTTAAACTTGAAAAACACTGCCAATACCATCAAGATGATAATGTGATAACTTTTGACTTTTACGCGTTCGATTTTAAACCAAGAACTTAAAAATATTTTTGAAAATGGCTATGTCCCCCTTCTGAAGGCACACTTGATAAGCACATGTTCGGCTGCCCCGAGGTCATGTAAACACCAAACAAACTGATAAAATGCAATTCAAATGAGGAAAAAAGTAAAACAACAATCTGTACTACCTCTGACGCCGGTTTCTTCCTCGACTCCAACTCTATCCTTTTTGGCATTTCCATGTTTGCACGTTTTTAGTATACAATATCACCACCTACTTGCGGCAGAAGCGATTGTTGAGAATCCAGAGTGCGCGGGCTGATCAATTGTTCCTAGAGGGGTCTCCGAATTGGTCAATTGTAAGACCCCAAACATGTGAATTGGATATGAATATGAATGAGGCGTGTGGCTTTTCAACCAATCAACGTCGAGGAATTCTATGATGTCATCCTACATTTCCCACAAACCACAACAAATTTTACACACGCGTTTTACTACGATCGTCGACGACAAAAAAGTTCATTCAGAAAAAGAATTAATTAATTTGCTTTCACGTTAGAATTAAAAACATAATCATTACATGAACCGAGGAACTAAACAAATTAATGCCATAAACGAATTAATATGCATATTAATGAACAATGATGCCATTGATTGAAAAATGTTGCTATTTACATTATAATGCTTAATAAACAAAGTCTCTAACTGATCGGGGCACAAATATAGTTTGATTTTTTCTATTTCATTTGTTTAATATATATAGAATCAAGACTAAAATAATCTTACGACGAGAGATACGTCAAATCAGAGCTAGTAATATTTGTTTTATTTAATCTGCCTCCAGATTTTGACATTTCATTCGGTCATTTTGGATTTTCCTTAGTTTCCTCATAACCTTGGTTTCAAAATTTAATTTCTTACATCAATGACGAGTCGCAGAAGGACAAACCAGCTATATGATGCAGTTTAATGCATGTTTGACTCTACTGTATCTAACTCTAAATTGTCATAAGGTGCTATTCGCTTGTCTTTAGTACGATCTTTGATATATTAAAAAATAGAACGACATGTAGTGGTGACATAAACTAAGTGTACATATCAATGAAACAAAGAATTACTTAGTACGTTAAAGACCACCAAGTGAAGTTATATCGACTTTATTGAAAAGAGTTCAGGCGGTCTGATCGATTTCTGATGAACTATTCGAAATTTTAAAGGCAATAAGACTCATATTTATCGAATTATTTTCGTCACAGTGCGGTAGTAAATTGATATATCGATAAAGTGGTAATTAAGTTTCCCAGATTACACAACTTGAAAAAAGAGAAGAAACTCTGCTTAAATAAGGTTTTAAAAATCAGGAGAAAACATGCTTAAATAAGGTTTTAAAAATCAGGAAAAGACCTGCTTAAATAAGGTTTTAAAAATCAGGAAAAGACCTGCTTAAATAAGGTTTTAAAAATCAGGAAAAGACCTGCTTAAATAAGGTTTTAAATTGAGGAAAAGACCTGCTTAAATAAAGTTTTAAAAATGAGGTAAAAACCTGCTTAAATAAGGTTTTAAAAATGAGGAAAAAACCTGCTTAAATAAGGTTTTAAATTGAGGAAAACCCCTGCTTAAATAAAGCTTCAAAAATGAGAAGAAAACCTGCTTAAATAAGTTTTAAAAAATGAGGAGAAAACCTACCTAAATAAGGTCTTAAATTATGGGAAACCCCTGCTTAAATAAGGTTTTAAAAATCAGGAAAAGACCTGCTTAATTAAGGTTTTAAAAATCAGGAAAACCCCTGCTTAAATAAGGTTTTAAATTGAGGAAAATCCCTGCTTAAATAAGGTTTTAAACTGTGGAAAATCCCTGCTTAAATAAGGTTTTAAACTGTGGAAAATCCCTGCTTAAATAAGGTTTTGAATCGGGGAAATCCCTGCTTAAATAAGGTTTTAAACTGTGGAAAATCCCTGCTTAAATAAGGTTTTAAACTGGAAAATCCCTGCTTAAATAAGGTTTTAAATTGAGGAAAATCCCTGCTTAAATAAGGTTTTAAACTGTGGAAAATCCCTGCTTAAATAAGGTTTTAAATTGAGGAAAATCCCTGCTTAAATAAGGTTTTAAATTGAGGAAAATCCCTGCTTAAATAAGGTTTTAAATTGAGGAAAATCCCAGCTTAAATAAGGTTTTAAATTGAGGAAAATCCCTGCTTAAATAAGGTTTTGAATTGAGGAAAATCCCTGCTTAAATAAGGTTTTAAATTGAGGAAAATCCCTGCTTAAATAAGGTTTTAAATTGAGGAAAATCCCTGCTTAAATAAGGTTTTAAATTGTGGGAAACCCCTGCTTAAATAAGGTTTTAAACTGTGGAAAATCCCTGCTTAAATAAGGTTTTGAATTGAGGAAAATCCCTGCTTAAATAAGGTTTTAAATTGAGGAAAATCCCTGCTTAAATAAGGTTTTGAATTGAGGAGAAAACCTGCTTAAATATGGGTTTAAATTGAGGAAAAACACTGCTGACATAAGGTTTCAAAGATGGGAAGAAGCGTGCCTAAATAAGGTTTCAATGATGAGAAGAAAACCTCGTTAAGTTAGGTTTGAGAGATGAGGAGGAAAAAAAATGCTTAAATAAGGTTTAAAAAATGAGAGAACTTGTTTTAGTAAGATTTTGAAATTAAGAAGACCTGGTTAAATAAGATTTTACGGGTAAGATACTCCTACTAGGCTTGCATAGATATCATACTATGTTAGATTACTTCACATTTCTTTATAATCATTCATTCTAACTTACCTACACGTACCTATGCACGTTTTAGTGTTAAACATACCGCATTCATCTGTATACTACTTTGTTTCTGAACCGCTGGGATAATTGTCAGAAGTTGGAGACATCATTAAGGTGACGGGAATTCAAAACAGGAGGGATACGTAGGCCATCCTTCCTTATAAGTTTCTCAGGAAATATTTTAACGACATCATGTTGGAATCGTCCTCAGGTGGTTATAAATCAAAATCGACCCACGGCTGTAAGAAGATGTAGAGAGGAGAATGGCGTGGGAATCATGGAGGTCCTGTTGGATAACCAAACAGATCCGTTTCTCATGACCATAGGTAGGTACATAGGAAAGGTCGAGATCCAATATCATACGTTACATATAAAATAGGTCAACAGAAAGGGATGACCCCCCCCCCTCATCCCATCCACCCCCACCCCCTGTAATAACGATTACAATCGGTTAACTTGGGCAACATTTCTTTGCTGGATATGATGTGACCAACACAGCCATGATATTGCCCTGTATAACCCTACAAGTCCTTGCTGGATATGATGTGACCAACACAGCCATGATATTGCCCTGTATAACCCTACAAGTCCTTGCTGGATATGATGTGACCAACACAGCCATGATATTACCCTATAAAACCTTACACTTATTTTCTGAATAGAAATATACAGCTGATTATTAAGCAAATCCATTACGAAGCGTTCTTCTGGAGTTTGGCCGTTTGGTTCTGTTGACCTTGTACGTGGTATAATGGCAAGCCTATGTTACAGTGTTTCGTTTGTTGGCGGGTTTTGTTTTTTTTTATGTTCAAACATTTTCAAAAACAACCCCGAGAGACTGGCCTTTGTTGGACTGGCCCACAGTGATCTGGCCCTCGCGGGACTGGGCTACGTGAGTCTGAGACACCAACAGACAGGGTCATATGATAATGGGTGTCAAGAGGGACACTGACAGACAGGGTCATATGAGGACGGGTGTCAAGAGGGACACCAACAGACAGGGTCATATGAGGACGGGTGTCAAGAGGGACACCAACAGACAGGGTCATATGAGGACGGGTGTCAAGGGGGACACCGACAGACAGGGTCATATGAGGACGGGTGTCAAGGGGGACACCAACAGACAGGGTCATATGAGGACGGGTGTCAAGGGGGACACCAACAGACAGGGTCATATGAGGACGGGTGTCAAGAGGGACACCAACAGACAGGGTCATATGAGGACGGGTGTCAAGGGGGACACCAACAGACAGGGTCATATGAGGACGGGTGTCAAGAGGGACACCAACAGACAGGGTCATATGAGGACGGGTGTCAATAGGGACACCAACAGACAGGGTCATATGAGGACGGGTGTCAAGGGGGACACCAACAGACAGGGTCATATGAGGACGGGTGTCAAGGGGGACACCAACAGACAGGGTCATACGGGTGTCAATAGGGACACCAACAGGGTGTCAAGGGGGACACCAACAGACAGGGTCATATGAGGACGGGTGTCAAGAGGGACACCAACAGACAGGGTCATATGAGGACGGGTGTCAAGAGGGACACCAACAGACAGGGTCATATGAGGACGGGTGTCAAGAGGGACACCAACAGACAGGGTCATATGAGGACGGGTGTCAATAGGGACACCAACAGACAGGGTCATATGAGGACGGGTGTCAAGGGGGACACCAACAGACAGGGTCATATGAGGACGGGTGTCAAGGGGGACACCAACAGACAGGGTCATATGAGGACGGGTGTCAAGGGGGACACCAACAGACAGGGTCAT